TACAATATGACATCCAGCTCCAAGTCCCAGGGCTCAAGCGACAACAATTTCATGTTTAAATCGAACAAGTCCCTGGACACTGACGGCCTGCACGAGGAGCTGCTAATGGCATAGGGCACACTCCCATCCAATCGAACAAAATTTATAAATGCAATTCAATTCAATTTTAAAAAGCTTTCGCTTGCATCCCGTGTAAATGTTTAGTCAGCAAACCGCCCCCCCCTCCGGCCAGGCGTTGAGCCAAGCACTGAATAATACCTGCTGAAACTTGCTGCTTGGTGCCGCTCGGTGGAGTGGGGGAACCTATTTATATATAGAAGATATATATATTTATATTATATATATTTTCCACGCTTGTTGGTCCATGTCGTTGGACGCTAAATAATTTTAGCGAAGCGGCGGCTACTTTGTACTCAAAAAACGACATTTAAAATCGACAAAAGAACCTGGACAGGACGGACAGAAAGACACGGACAGACACGAGTACTCGTATTAATTACATCGTATAATTATTAATTGTTTATTTGTTATTTATTTATACTTAATTTATTGATGCCTTGTATTATTATAACGATGATCCTCAATCCGCAATCCTCTCTCCTTGTTTTTCGCCTAAGTCAATCCCCAAACGGAACCAACAATTGTGCAATAATCTCTGCCACCCCCACACTCAAAAGTATTATGTGCAACTCTTTTTCTTTAGTTGAATTTTCAATTTAGTCATTGTTTTTTTATTCTTTCTATTCTGCATACCTTACAAACGAAAGTCAAATTGTAATATTAAACCAAGAAAAACCACAAACAAACAAACCAACAAAAAAAATATATAAAAACCTGCTGTAAATGTGCGTGCGTGTGTGTGTATTTTTTTATTGGCTAGCTGACACGGCTAACCTTTCCATGGTTGTTGTGGCGTCTCAATTTCATGCAGTTGCACTCTTCCTGACACGCAGCCCATACCATGCCATGCGAATCATGTGTCAGTTCTCAATCAGCACTTTCGGATGAGCGAATGGCAGACGAAGGAACGACGCGAATGTAAATGCTCGTAATAATCGGTGGAGCCGTTTAATTGTCTTTGCATATAAAATAAAAAGTCAACATTTTGAAACAATTTTGTAGGATGGCAACTGCGCAAGTCAATCGATCTTTCCTCGGCATCGCACTGGGCCCTGACCTCGCTGTTGTACCTGATTGCAATGCTTGCCGTCTCCAGCGCCATCGTTCGGACCACACGAAGGGCCCTGCGTCATGTCAGGAACAGTTTCCCAACGGTACTGCTCGAAATGCATCATCGAATTGTGCTGGCCGTCTCCAGCTCCTCCTTGCTTCAGCCCGCCCTTGACCACGAAAGTGTCGCTAATGAACTGCTCCAATTCCTCCTTCGATTTGAACTGGCATAAAGAAAGCAAAGGCAAATGAAGGTAAATGCTAGTGTTGTGACTGTCCCAGAGGGGACATCACTTACGTGGCGCTCGTTGCCGAACTCCTGATCCGACTTTGGACTCGTGTTTCTTGTAGGCTTCGTTCACGTTTCGCTCTGCGTATTTCATCTCGCTGCGCACCATTCGGACCTGCTGCTGCTGCTGCTGCCGCTGCGCCTTCTGCTGTTCCTCGAAATGGCTGAACTGAAACTCGGTGCGCGGAGTCATTGCCGGGGTGGTGGCGGAGCTGTTGAATAGTCCGCTAAACAGCGTCTGGCCATATTTCTGTGATCTGTGGTGCACAACAATCGGGCAGAGGACAGGGATAAACAATGCACAGACAAGAAAATACAAGACATACTCTATGGGGTCCTTTTCCTTCATTTCCAGATATTCGTTGAGCATGTGGGAGGGGAAGGGCAGGGAAGCATCCATCATCGACTGCAGCTCCGATTGGCTATAGTGTTCCCCCTCCATTTGGCTTGAGTACAGCTGTTCCTCTTCCACTCTGGAGCTGGAGATCATTGCGTGGTCTTCCTTTTCAGAGCCCACGGGGCTCTCAATGCTCATCAGCTGGTCGCTGAGCTTAATGTTCAGCTTTTCAGCCCTCTGGCGCAGTGTGCGCTCGAAGGACAGCCGCTGCTCAAGCATCTCGTTGTTCGAGCGCAGCTCGGTAAGAGTGAACTTCATGCCCTTGGGCAGACTCTGCAGCCCGTCGAAGAAGCTGACATCGTACGCTGGCTCCTGCTCCGCTTCGGCGTCCGGAGTGCCCAGCTGGTCGCAAATGCTGCGGTGCAATGGCTGGCTGATTCCCTCGTTGTTTCGCAAATTGAATTCCATGATGGTCTGGTTGAGGGCCAGGCAGTCGAGTATGACATTGGCCCCAATGTCAGTCAGGCCACAGCCCTGCAGGTCGACGACTGCAGGCATCGGAGGAGATTTGAGTGTGGACTCAAGGCATGGGCCATGCTTCATCGCACTTACCCTTTATCCAGGCATCCTCCTTCAGCACATCGCAAATCAATTTGAGTCCTTGGTCCCCAATATCGGGATTGTTGGCGAGAAGGAGCGTGCGCAAGCCCAAGTGGGAGCCGCCCGTGTATCGGGAAATCTTCTGCATCTGTGGGGGATACCAAGGATTCCGGTTACCATTCATCCGATGCACCTTCAGCGCCGCTATACCGATACCTTGACCATATCGGCCACGTGAACGGCTCCCTTTGCGGTGATGCGACACTCGGAGAGATCGAATAGTGCGATTCGGTTGAGGTACTTGGCCGAGTTGCACACCAGCTCGCACCCCTTGTCCCCGATGATGGACTTGCGGAAGCTCAAGGTCTCCAGGCAATCGTTGGCAGCCAGCGACTAGAAGCAGAGAAGCACAATAACAGCTAGTGCCTAGAATGGATGACGGGTGCGCGTCGTACCTTGGCGATGCAGTCAATGTAGCCGCCATAAAGGGGCAGACCCTCCAGCTGCAGCACTGTCAGATTCTTGTTGCTGGCCACACAGTTGGCGATGGACTGGACGAGGCCGCGGAAAATAAAGCGCGTGTATACCACCGGACGCTGTGTGAAGAGTCGAGCCCGATTCTCCGTGTCGATGGGATCGATTGTATCTGCATGGGAAAGGTCCCTTAGATTCCCCGCTCTATAGACGGTCCCACTGTGGCTCTACTCTACTCACTGTGTTGATGGGAGCGCCGCATGCGCAGCACCAGGCTCTTTAGGCACAGATCATTTTGCAGCGACTCGTTGACCAGCAGCCAGTCGCTCACGCTCAGCTTGTCGGCGTAGAACTCCAGGGAGCTCTTGTCCAGTGACTGCTTCCGAATATCCGGAACGGGTGTGAGGTTTTTCGCACGACAAAGCTCCAAATACCGAAAGTAGAACGAGCGGCTCTTGCTCGACTTCTTAGCTGGTGCCGGCACCGTTACCGCTACCTTCTTGGCTGCCAGCGCTCGCAGCGTTCCATTCCGTATTCCCGACACACGGCCGAGCGACATGTTCCGTTCGCGTTTCTGTTCTAATCTGTTCCGATGTTAGCCAGACTAGGCTTCCTACAATATTGACTATGTTTGGAGAACGAGCGGCTAACGAATAGTGGACATAATGTTCAATTGCTTGCTTTGTTGATAAGTTTTGAGCCTACGCTAAGCTAAGCATGTTCCTTGCCAGCGGATCGGCACCATGACTTTGATCTATCTGTCAAGTCGAACACTTTGTAACTGTACAAAGACTTCAATTCGAATTGAATTTGAGCAAATCGAAAACCCAATGCACGTGTTCGGCTTGTACGCTTTGGCCTTTCTGCAGACACTGCTGCTGGCTGGCGGCTGTCTGGGTGCAAATGTGTCTGCAGCATCACCCGTAGCTGTGGGCCGCCAGGACGACCAGGAGCTGATGCTGGAGGACGAGTGGCTAATTGGCGTCTGTGCGTCGAATGTGGAGAGCTGCGAGCGGATGTGGCTGGAGTTTGCCCAGGGAGTGGAGCAGAAGGCGAACCATGTTTCAGTGGGGTTCATCCGGCTGGAGCACTGGCAGGCCAGCCCAGGGGACGACAACACGCCGTCACAGCAGCACCTGCCCCTCATACTCAATGTGCGCAATGGTCGCTGCCGAGTGCTGCCCGTGAGCAGCGACTTCCTCAGGTGGAAGCAGCATAGCCGGCACCTTGGGGACGACGCCGGCATGAAAATCAAATCGCCGCCCACACGGCAAGGTATACGGAAGGCGTACCACGGTACAAGCCTGGACGGGGAGTTGCATAAGCATCACGAGATCCGCGTGGGCTTCACCAGCGCCATTATCTTCTTCATTTGGATGGCGTATCTATTTCGATTCTTCTGGTGCAATCGCGAATTTACCGTTGTGCTTTTTCTATATCACATGATGATTTACGTTTTGCAATAAAACGGTGAGAGACGATTCACAGCTGGAACGCTGCGCACAGTTCTGTTCTTCTGGCCACATTTTGGGCATTTTTCCGGATCTTTTGCGTGCTCCGCTGATAAACACTTTCGGGGCACATTCCTCCTGCTGCTGATCCTGCATGGTGGGTAGCTATGTAGCCATGTCGCGGCACACACACACCCACACACATGGCGACTGATTTTGTTTTTGTTTTTTAATTATTTTGTGTTGCACAATAAGGAATATTAAGTTGCATTTCTTATGACAGAGGCTAGACCGTATGTAAATATGGGATATACTCGTATAAATATATATATATGTATGTATGCATGTATGTACAGTGTTGTATATTGCAGAGGAGCAGGGTGAGGGAGGGCCCTCCTTTACTCCTCCAGAGTTATTGTTTGCATGCCATAAGAATGAATATACAATTGCATTATGTTATATTTCATATCCGTATATGCTACTATCTTGCATGGATGAGGCGAGGCCTTGTGGATTGATTTTTACTTAATATTTAGATATATGTAGCTCTCGAGCAGATCTTATGTGTATGTGTGTGTGTGTACGAGTATATGGAGTAGTGGGGGGATTATGTCTCGTCTGCCGCAGTGGAACTTAAAGTTTAACGTTTTAACAAGTTGCATTTTGCTGTTGTTCTCTTCACATTAAATATCATACACTCACATTCACATACATGGAGGATAAACATATATACACATATATAGTACGATGGGTAGAAAATATAGCAGGGGGTGTGGTGGGGGTGGGGGGTAACGAACAAAAGGTTATCTCTACATGAAAATATTCACTAAAAATATCTCGTGGTGTGTGGAGCAGCAGCAGCAGCAGCAGCAGCAGGATGAGGATGAGGAGGATAGCGCCTGACAAAGAGCTAGTCCAGATAGTCCATGGTCTTGATGAACTTCACCACCGAACCGAACAGCGTCCAATAGAACTCGTTCTCGCCATCGAGCTTCCTGCCCAGAAAGCAGCTGATGTACTCCACAGTCGACAGCAGATAGGGGGGATTCGCCTGCAATACGATTATATATATATATATTGGGGGTAGGGCAGGGATTATATACACACCATTATGACCACATAGATGAGCACGGGTAGCAGATCATCGGCAGCGGGCACACGACCGCAGGACATGCGCAGCAGACTCATGATGCTGGCGATGCAGCTGATGGGAAAGGGAAATAGCAGGCGGCAATCAATTAATAGAGTTTCGTGTCATGTATGTAGCGGCTGTGGGACGACGACGACTCACTTGATGATGCACTGCAGCTTCTCGCGCGGCGTCTTGTAGGCGGCCATATGGCAGAGCTGCTGTTGGGCAAAGGTCCAGGGCGCCTCGCCCAGATATTCCTGGGCAATGCAGAGGGCCGGATGGGCGGGATGCACGAACCGCTGCAGCTTGCCAATGTGCTCGGAGAGCACTGTGTCGCGGGAGACATCGGCATCCTCGTTGGGGAACATCACCTGCTGGTACATTAGCTCCAAGAGCATACGTTCAATGGCCTCCCGGGCGGCATCCACCTGCCAGTCGTCCAGCAGGTCGGCGCTCGTTACCAGCTGCTGCAGCAGCTGCTCAACAAACTCATCGACCAGCTCCGCCCGCTCATCGCTCGCCCTTAGCTGGCCGAATTCGGTGTGGAACTGCTGCAGCTTGTCCTGCTGGCGGGCCCAGGCCAGATAGAGCCGGACGAGCGATTGCATCAGGCAGCGCTGGCAGCTGCGCGCCTCACTCCTCAGCCGCAGCTCCAGCTGCTCGAGCTGCTCGGAGCGCAACAGCAGCTGCTGGCGGTGCCGCATCAGGTACTGCAGATAGCTCTGCCTGCGCTGAAGGTCATGCTGCAGCTCCACCAGCAGCTGGCCATGCTGCGGCCGCTCCAGCTGCTCGAGGCAACGCAGCGCCTCGGCCACGTGCGAGATCTGCGGCAAACGCTGCAGGCTGATGCACTGCGCCAGCTGGATCTGCAAGTAGATCTGCAGCGGTGTGGTCGCATCCAGCGGACGCAGCGGCGTCGTCTGCCGAAAGTCCCCGCTATGCAGATCCGTCTTCGACAGCACCGTGCGCAGTTTCTGCTTCACGCTGCCAAACGCCACGCCAGGCAGTTGCCTGCAACAGAGAGCAGAGCATCGGCAAAGCTGTCAGATTCGAATGCACATTTGGACTTACCCTCCATTCACATGCTTATGCAGATGCGCTGCTGCGGCTGTGGCTGAGGCTGCTGCTGCTGCTGCTCCTCCGTTGCCCGTTGAATCGGAATTGGTTGCCTCGCTGGAGCTGCTCACCTTGCGCCTGTACTTGGCCAGTATATCCTCGCTGCTATCACAGTAGTGGGTGCCGAAGCTAACGCAGGCGGCGGCACTGGGATCAAAGCTAACACTGCGCGATCCCCCCGGATCTGTTGTGGCATTGGCATTGGCATTGGGATTGGGATTCGGATTGGCATTGGGATTCGGATTAATGTTCGTTGGCGTTGCGGCGGCAATGGCATTGTTTTTGGAGCTGCTCGAGCCGCCGCGGCGATGCTTGAAGAAGCCCTGCTTCAACTTGTTGAAAATGCCAGCACTGTGATGCTCACGATCTCTGTCCCTGTCCCTGTCCCTATCCCTGTCTCTATCCCTATCCCTGTCCCGTTCTCTGTCTCTGTCCCGTTCCCTATCTCGTTCCCTGTCCCGCTCCCTTTCCCTATCCCTGTCCCTGTCCCGGTGGTACGGCTGCTGCTCCTTATCCGCACTGGCATCGAAACTAATGCTCTTTGGTATGGCCCCCGTGGCCTTGCTGGGCGGCTTGGATGTGCCTCTGGTTCCTGTTGCAGCTTCGGCTCTGCTGATGCTCTCGGCGGTGGCGGTGGCGGCGGCTGCTGCGGCTGCTGCTCGCTCCTCCAGCTGCAGCTGCTGCTGGGTCTGGGCACACAGCAGCAGCTCCTGCTTGTCATCGTCCGTTTTGGGCAGCATCGAATTGAGCATAATCTCATGATTCTCATAGTTGAGACTCTGGTGGCGGCGCATGCTGCCCGCCAGGATGCCATTGCGCCGCCCATCGATGCACTGGGAGCGCTGCTCCATGGAGATGCGACGATGCTCGACGGACGACTGGCTGGAGCAGCCCTGCTGCTGTTGGTGTTGCTGTTGCTGCTGCTGCTGCTGTTCCTCCTGGTTGAACATGTCCAGCAGCTGTTGGACGAGTCCTGGCGGCTGCTCCTGCTCATCCTTGTCCTCGCTGCAATCACTGAAATCGATGAGATCCCGATGCTGGTGCTCCTTATGCTCCAGCCCCAGCCCCAGCTGCTGGTTTCTTCTTCTTCAGCCCCACCGACTTGTGGTGATGCTCCCGATGGTCCCGCTCGCGTTCCCAGTCTCTGTCCCGATCCCGATCTCGATCCCGATCCCGATGATGATGATGCTTGGCCAGGGCGCGCGGCGGCGGTGGCGGCTCCTCCAGATTGAGGCTCTGGTTGCTGATGCTGCTCTCCGCGGAGGTCTGGCGTCGCATGCACGAGGTGCCCATCAGCGGGGTCGTCTTCCGGCCAATGCCCTCGGCACCGCTGCATTTGTACTGCTGCTGGAAAGCTGCTCTCCCCGCCCATCACATGGTAGCTGGTCCTCACCGAGCTGCGGGCCAGCGAGGAGGCGCCATGGTACAGATGGTGGGCGTCCTCATACGAGTTCACGGCATCAAAGAACGCCGAATCCTCCTGGCTGCGTTCGCTGCCATTGCGCAGCCGTTCACGGTCTGGGTCTGGGTCCGGGTCTGCGTCTGGGTCTGGCTCCCCGTCGCCACTGCTGCCCGGCGTCTGTTCGTCCTCATCGTCGTCATCGCCCACACCGCTACCGCCACCGCCACCGCCACCGCCAGGGGCCTCCGGCACTCCGGCATCCCTCTCACCGGCGGCAGCGGCTATGTCCGATTTGGCTGTGATGCTGGCATTATCGTCCGTATCGATTTCGGCCAACTTCTCCGAGTCGCTGGCCAGCACATCGGTGCTCCAGTTGCTCTCCGAACGCTGATCGGAGGCGTCCATGTGGGGCCCAGAGATGACACCAGCCCCGGCCCGGGCCAGGGCTTCCACAACGAAATTATTGTCACCCGGCAGGACCACAGCGGAGGGGATGAGCGGCGTGGAGAAGTTACGATCGCGATCTCGGTCCCGGTCCCGGTCCCGGTCACCGCGATCGCCCCCCCGCTCGCTGCCCGTGGCATCGAGGGTGTTCTCCGAGTCGCTGGCCAGCACATCCGTCGACCAGGTGTCCGAAATGATGCTCACGTTCTCATCGCCCTCGAACTTTTTCAGCTCGAACTTGCAGAACTTATCCTCGATGTCGGAGCGGGCCTTCGAGAGGAGCATCTTTTGCATTTGCGGGTTCGCGGCACGCACGTGATGGCCATGATGGTGGGCCAGATCGCCGCCGCCGCCATCGCCGTCCGTCACTTGGGACGAGGGCGTGTCCCGGCCACTGATATTGGGGGTGCCGCGGCCGGAGACATTCGCCGACACCATATCGGACAGATTGTCCTCGTTCTCGTGCACATCGCGCTCCTGCTGCTCCTCGAGGTCCAGCGAACTGGCCACCGAATGCGCCGCCTCGCTGATGGCCTCCAGATTATCCGAATTGCCAATGGAGGCATCGTCCTGCGGCCGCCGCATCGCCTCCAGGCTGCTCACATCATCGTTGTTCGAGGAGGGCGCCACCAGGGCGCCAGTGGTGCAGGCGACAGCGGGCAGCAGATTGCTGCCATCCTGGCCGATGCAGTTCATCTTGAGCACCTCCTCCTCGGTGAGGGGCTTCAGTTTGCTCTTCGCTGAGGCATTGTAGATGCTGAACATCAGCACAGGCTCATCTGGGTGGCTGCATTGATGATGATCAGCAGCAGCAGCAGCAGCAGCAGGGGTCGGGGCAGCAACGGGAGCACCGCAGGAACTAAGACTCGTATTGCTGCCGCTGTGGCTGGAGCACTGCTCGAGATCTCCGTTCGAAGCAGCGGAAACGTTCGAAACATTCGCCTGGCCATTTGCCAATGGCAATGGAAGCTGCTCGACGGCTGGCTGGACATTTTTATTGCTATTGCTATTGCTGTTGCTGTTGCTGAAGCTCATGCTGTTGGCCAGCTTCTTCTTGGCCTTGCCCAAGCGCATCAGACTCTTGTTGTTGTTGCTCTTCTTGCTGGTGTTGTTGTTGTTGTTTGCTGCTGCTGCTGCTGCTGCTTCTCCGGACTCCCTGGCACTTCCGACTGGGATTGCTGGTGCTGCTGCTTGGGTATCCTGCCAAGGATGCGCTGCAGGCGCTGCCTCTCCTCGGCCGAGACATCGTACTCATCGCGCGACGTCAACAGGCGAAAGAACTCGACAAACTGTGACAGCTCCCGTTGATTGATGGCCAGCTGGGAGCGCTCAAAGTCGGTTTGCTGTGGCAAGATGGCCACCACATCCTCACCCGTTTCGCCGAGCATGAGGAGCTCCATGAGTTGGACCAGCTCGCTGCCCTCATCGTTGACGGCCAGCCGCTGCAGCAGCTGGACAATCTGATTGAGATTGTGGCGCATCCGTTCGCTGACATTCACATCGATAATGCCCACCAGATCGGCGCTGACAATGGCCGGGGAGATGAAGTGCGTGAACACCAGGTCCGTGAGCAGGTGCCGAATGTCCTGCTCCTCGTGGCGATGCGTTTGCCGCAGCTGCTGGCTGAGCGTTTGCAGCAGCCAGCGCAGGGAGCTCGGAAACAGAGCCCAGCTCTGCTGCAGACTCTTCACAAACACCTGGGCATGGGTGTGCAGCTTACCGAGCGTCTCCGCATGGAAGCGTGCCACATTCCGCTGGTACTCCTCGGCGTGCTCCCCGCCTGGCTCCTGGCTCGCCGGTCCGAAGCGCCTCTCGCGCTCCTTCTGGCTGAAGCTCTGCATCAGCTTGTGCGGATCCAGATCCAGCCAGATATCGTGCTCGCTCAGGACTCCCATCAGGGGCGCATGCAGGGCGGCCGTGAGGAAGATTCTGGCCGAAAAGAGGCTCTCCACCAGCCGCTGATAGAGGCGGGCGAAGGAGCTGCTATTGGTGCGGAGCAGCCGGCGGGGCTGCTCGCTGCCCAGCAGCTGGATTTCGATCAGTTCACGCAGCAGCTTCAACAGCAGCTCTACATCCTTTGTGTTGATGGCGTTCCCGTACAGGCCCGTCGCTATCGTATTGATGATCTGCCCCAGTTGGCCGCTCGAGAGCAGCGACAGCCGATCGGCGGTGGCCAGCGACAGGGCCAACAAATACGGCGTATTGTACAGATAGTTGAAGAGGTCCTCGTAGGCGAGGGCATGCTCGTACGGCAGCACCTGCTTGGCATCCACAAACTGTGCACTGTCGTAGGCGCTCGCCCGTCTGCAGCTCAGCAGGGGATCGTGATCGTGCCTGGCCAGCAGCAGCTCGTTCAGTATCTGCCTCTGCTGGGCACACACAAAGGCCAACTGTCACGGGCAACCAGACAAGACAATGAGAAACACGACAAACACGACTAAACACGTTGGGTTTTATCTATTGGTTGATATTTATATTTACCTTTGTTATGGTGCCTGCATTGGTCTCTAGAGCCCCCGTCAGCTGGCCAAAGGCCGTCTGCTCTTGCTGGATGAAGAGCTGCTCCTGGCGGAGTGTGCGCGCCAGGTCCATAATCTCCAGCAGATTCCCCGCTGCAGTGGGCTCCATAGTGCAGATAAGAGTTCCTGCAAGATGCAAGATGAATTGAATTTGTCAAAATAAAACGCTAGAAAAGACGCCTGAAAGACCTGATCCGACGTGGATCTCTTCCTCCTCTAAGGAGGAACACTGAACACTCTAGAGCAGCGCTGGGGAAGGCTTTTTGCTATTTTGCGAGCAGTCAAACTTGAGCTGAACTTGAGCCGAGCATCAATCTACTGCGTCACTGTGCGCTACAGTGAACAATGCCGTCGGGCCGCTCAACGAATAAAGCTAGAACTAGAAACATGCCAGCTAGTTAAGCAGCAAGAGCAGGCGATCGAATCCCAACAAGATAACGAAAATGTGCATGTGCGCATGTCGCCAAATGCGTGACAAGTAAATTGTAATTGAGCCTTCTCTTTGGAAGCCTTCGCTTGTGCCAGCGAGCCAGTGAGACGGCTCCAACACTGCTTTGGAAACACTTTTAGTGGCAATTCCATTTCCAATTCCAATTCCATTCCAAATCAATCAATTTCGATGAAAATTTAATTATCTCTACGGAACTTGTTGTCAGTTTCCCATTTTGACGGAATATTTAAGCAATTTTCATTTACGTTTAATTCGATTTGCAACAATTTATCCTCAAATTTAGTTCCGTTCCGCCCACATTCCTACTCACATCCCAACGCTCGGTGTCGTTCGGTGTCCGGCCCGTCACTTGCCCGCCGCCCGTATTGCGCATTTCCGTGATTTAAATTGGTCTGGAATTTCTCATACCACTTATTTCGGTTTCAAGCAAATGGATGGAATGATTAACAGTGGAAATCAGCTGCTGTGCTGCCGCCACTCTTAGACCGTTATATTCGATGGAACACATGTACACATGCGCTACGATTGCGTAGCGAAAGCATCTCCTCTCTGCTCTACTCAAATGATCTTACAGTCACGCGCACATCTCTAATTGAGTGCCAAAGTGAGACAGAAAGCGAGAGAGGGAGGGAGAGAGAGAGAGAGAGAGCTAAGCAGCTAGCTGGTGGCTAATCAATGGAAGTGGGAGCGAGAAATTAAGCCTCTCAGCGAGTATACACGTATTTGTATGCATGTGTGCATATGTATATAGTATATAGTATATATAGATTTTGTGGTTACACGAACAATGCCAAACGCTTGCCAATCTCCGCTTCAGTTACAGTTACAGATTAGGCCTTGATCAAGGCCAGATATGTAGTTGCCCTGACTTGCCCTGAACGTGCCCAGACAGACACAGACACAGACAGATACAGATGATAAACAACAGAAGATCCGCCGCTTTCCGTTGTCGTGAGTGGAGATGGAGTCACAATATTTGCGCATCAATTACGGCCACTATTTGTTCCTCGTGAATGAACCATGGGGGAAGGGGAGGGATATGGTGTGTCAGCCAGTCCATAGCGTATGAATCAATCATCTGATCTGATCTGTTTACTTTCTTCCCCAGGGCTTATAGAGAAAAACGATCCACTGAGGATTACAGGGGCATTGGTGCCGCGCACCTTTGCGCTTGGGGACGACCAGGAGCGCTGTCCTGGAGTGGTGTACATGTAATTTTCAGAATTTTGCTCAAGTTTAGCCTTTTCTCTCTAAATTGTTGTATTCAATTTGGAATTGTTGTTATCTTATCGATAGCTGGGCGAAAGTCTTAGGAGGCGTTTTAGATAAACAATGGGTCATGTCACACGCTGCCATGCCCGATACGATTAGTTGGTGACTGCTGACTGTTGACTGGGATTCTATAAGCGTATGTACCAAAAGTATGCATGTATATGCATTCCAAAACAATAATAAAATGCTCCCACCGATGATGCTCTCTCTCTCTCTCTCTCTCTGTCTGTCCAGCAGGAAGGCAGATGCAACAGCCTACCAATTGGAACAATGACAAGCTAACAACACATATAAAAGTGAAAAGTGAAACAAAATCTAATTTGTGTGGGTGTTTTGTTTGTCTCTCACATTGCACATTCCCCACAGCCAGCAGCAACGTGAGGCGTCGCAATGTGTCCCCATCGCTGAAATGGGGGGTGGACTTTCGCGCTAGTGTGTGTGTGCATTAATAATTTAATAATGGAAAGAGCCTGGAAATTGGCCATAGGTACGCTTCCCAAGGGTTGTGGGGTTCTACCATATATGTAGGAATGCGCGGATTTCCTCAGCTGCTGGCTGCTGTGGCTGCAGGACTTACGTTTCGGGCAGGGGCTGCTCTCTGTCGTCTGCTGTCGTCCTGTGTGTGAGCCTGCGGGCGCGGGCGCAAGAGCCTGCTTGTGTGGGAAGGGCGGCCGACTAGCGGGTAGCCGCCGTTTAGCCTATTGCGTGGATATTGAAGCCTGTGATTGCGATTTCCACACGCACGCCTTTTGTTTAAATGATTACGTCCATTTTCTCGCCTCATAATTCGGTTTGTCTGGCAACATGTTGCTCGGTCTAGAAAACAGAAACAGAAGCAGGGGGGAATGGAGGAGACGAGAAGAAGTCACACAACAACTCACTTTCGCTTGCAATTGGAGATATGACTGCCTTTCCACTTTCAACTTGAAATGTTGTTTAACTTGAATTACCGAGTCTTAACACAACCGTTGGCTGAACCGAATAAAAAATAAAAACACAAACAATTAATGTTTTTTTTTTTTGCTATGCACGCTAGAGGTGTCAAACCATCGAGGGCACTATCGATGGTATCGATGTCTTGCTGCTATCCGCTGCTATCGACGGTTTTGCGACTATCATGATAGTATCGAGCTACAGTTGTTGCGCTTTTGATGTTTTTTTTTTTTTTTGATTAAATCATCGCATGGATGACAGGGGTTTGATCGCAGCTGTGTTGCCACATTGATCAGGTACTGGTGTGTGACTTATTGTCCGATTATTCAGTTTCGGACGCTTGATGGGCCCAAGGTGTGTCTCCAGAATATGTGTTTAGTGAGATCTTCAGATCGAAGAGTGTAAAACCTCCGAATGTATTGTTTAAAAACTTGTTTGTGAAAATTGAATATGTTGATATGTTTGGATTAGCTGCTCTAAAATACGAAGACACATTTGTAAACCAATCGACAGGTGGCATCAAGTTTTTATAATGGACAAGTTCCTGAAAGGTTTCCATAGTTTTATAATAATTATTTGAGCCCGATACTATTACGATAGTATCGATTGTTTCTTTTTTCAAAACTACCGATGGCTCAACTATCAATCGTTCGACAGCTCTAGTTTCCGAAGGACAGACAGACCCACAAGACTTATCAATAAAATATACCGCCTGACCCACAGAAATATACCTTCTCTTTTTCTAATATACCGTGAATATACCGAAGAATATCATATTCATATCATATTTAAATTTACAAGCTAATTATAGTGTTATTAGACCAATTGCACTCCTTCAAATAAGATCAAGATGTTCCACTTAAACTACAGAGAAGGCGCCAAAAAATCCGGAAAACACCTGTGCTGGCGTAGGAAAATGACGCTAGGAATACAAAACAGCAACAGCCAATGAAAAGCCAGTGCGACCAATAAGTAACAGAAAATGTATTATTTTACTTTGTTCACAAATTCATCTGCGAATCAGACAGGTATTAACAATTGAGAATTTTGTTTACATATTAGGAAAGGAAAACGTAAGAATTTTGTTTACAAATTAGGAAGGAAAAACGTAAGACTTTTGTTTACAAATTAGGAAGGAAAAACGTAACGTACGTATTAAGTTATCACTAGCAATTGAGAATTTTGATTTGGGAATAAGGAAGAAAAGTGTAAGTACTTCAGTACTCCATTATGTTTCACGTGCTGTTTGTCTGGACAAGTTTATTTCGCGTTCCGCCTGAAAAAAACAAAAACAATGGGTGCCTCGTTCAACAGTATTGCTCTACGAGCATCAACTGTAAGTACTCACATCTTCTGTCGCAGGCGTCGAGGATGCGTCCGCGTGGGCGGTATTTTAATGTGTCCTCAACAGTGGTGCTTTCCTGGGACTTCTCAGCTGCAAGTTGTGTTTGCCTCGAGTTTATGCTGAGTTTACGATGGCTTTGATTAATTGTTTTTGTTTTTGTATTTTGAGTGCTGCTTTTGTCTGGATCATCAACGGAGCTTCATCATCAGTTCAAGGGTCATCAACAGGTCTACTAGTGCTTCGCACACTTGGACTTTCGACGGGATCTGCGACGCGGTTTCTTTGCGCAGCTCTGTTTCGGCTTCGACTTCTTGCAGCTACGTGACTTGCGTCGTCGTCGTTTGCCACAAGAAGACTTTGCCCGCTTGGACTTGCACTTGCCTCCTTTGCGCTTGCGCTTTGAGCTGCCGCGTTTTCTCGTCTTCTTGTGACAGCCAGCGCCCTCCGGTTCGTTGTGAGAGTCTAACAAAGACACGGACGAAGCACAGGGGGCCCACAAGCGACAGCTGGAGCACTGGAACCGCTGTGCAGGCGCCATATCCCGCCACCGCTGCGCAGCTAGGTTGAGCTTTGCCTTTGGTGAGTACCGTTGGCCCCGCAAGAAATTGCGGTAAGCTGCTGGCGTTCGCACGCCATTGGCCTTTTCCCGAACTGGCACGGAGTCGGAGTCGGAGTCGTAATCCGACGAAATAGATGAAGCCTCAGAGTAAGACATTATTGAAAGCAAGCACAAATAAACAAACAAAAAAAAAATATAAATTTACGAAAAAAAAAAAAACTGAAAATTTGATGTTTTGTATTTTTCTGTATGTGTGAACTGTGTATCGGTTGGAGTCTGGAGTTGGAATGAGCTCAGGCCTGGGCTTTGCTTACGCCTCAACAAAATTTGGGATCAAGTTCGGTCTCAGAGCCTCCCTAGATTGTGTATTTTTGCGTGTTCCAATTCTGTTCTTTTCTATGGAAGTTTTCATTAAATTTGATTCATCAGTCGACTATGAAACGTATGTCAGTACAGGTACAGGAACAGGGTGCCGCTAATTCTCCTCAAAGAGGAAACCACAACAAAAATTGGCAAGTCCCAGCCATTGTCTCTGAAATCTTTCAATAATCGAAACAAAGCTGATAAGGGACTAATGTACATATGTTCAATACATTTTGCCACCTGAAGTGTCTGTACCCGCCACGGAAACGGGAAATATCACCTTGGCGTAATATCCGATGGATGCGAAGCCAACAAAATGGCGCTATAGACAGCTGTGGCGACGGACAAATTTTTCGTGCATGCCCGCCGATTGTCAGCGCTTATCGACGTTCAAACTGTTGGCAAGGAAAACTTATTTCAAAACATAAAATCAAGCACTAAAAAAAAAAATAAACAAGCGACTTGAGATACGCTATTTGTGCATTTTAATGGGTTTATTTGATGTGCTACTCGTATTATTATTTATTCGGACGGAATTCGCCACCATCCAGCCCCGCCACCCACTCGACAATCCGCTTGAAGAACTCCGAGTCCACCAGCTCGATGATGCGCACATTCTCCGGATACTTTTCCCGCTCACGCAGATGATCGAGCACCATCTGGCCGCGCGTATGCGTGCCCCGCAGATCAACTGTGGCATGCCACGTACTTTGCTTCCGCACCAGCCGGTCCTCGAACAGCCAAACGGCCACCACAATGGCATCGCAGGGATTCCAAGTGTCGATCCCATACTGTTCGATCATGGGCAGCCACTGGGCGCTCTCCACGCGGTTCAGCAGAGTGATGGCCGAATGCTGGACGGACGCCGCCCTCACCGCGAACTCCTCCAGGCGCCAGTTCTACGGGAGAAGGGAAACAAAATTAATTATCGTTCCAGCGGAGAGGGGGGACGGGACCTCTTTTACTCACAATGTGTATGTTGAAACGCTCTGGAAGACAGGGCTCCCAGGGCAGAATGGTGATCGGACAGTGTGTCTTGAGCAGCACGGCATGCGCGGCCTCCGGATCGGAATGGAAGTTAAACTCGGCGGAGCGCGAGGAGTTGCCCACGCCTTGATAGTTGCCGCCCATAATGTAGAGGTCCCTCAGCTGCTGGCCGAACTCCTCACCGTACATGGTGTAGCCGAGGGCCAGATTTGTCAGCGGCCCCACCGCGAACACGGTGATCTGTTTGGGTCGCTTGCGGCACAGCTCGTAAATGGCGGTCACCGCATGCTCCGGCTGCACGAGGCTCTCCAGCGACTCCTCGCTGTCACACGCCGCCAAGCAGTCGCCGAAGCCGTCGCGTCCATGGAAATACTTCTTGTCATCTTCGCTGCAGCTAATCAGGGGCTCCACGGCCCCCAGATAGATGGGCACCTGCAATCACACACACACATTATAGGATGCCCTCCCCCCAGTACTCCCCCCGTGTACTCACATCTTGTCTGTCGCAGGCGTTTAGGATGCGTCGCATGTTGCGCGCGGCATGCTCGCGGGTGGTGTTGCCGCACCCGATGGTGGTCACAGCCAGGAGCTTCACCAGCTGGCTGCGCTCTGCGTGCAACAGCAGCAACAGGGCCCAGGCATCGTCGCTGCCGCCATCGCAGTCGAGTATCGCGTACCTTTTGCCTGTCGCCGGCTCCTCTCCTGCCGCCGCCGTCTCCTCCTGCTGTGGTGCTGCTGTACGTCCGTCTGGCATCGAAGGCGAACTGTGAGTGCGCGTACAAATGCGGAATTGCTCTGCTCAGCTCTGCTCAGTGGATTGGACACCGGCCTGCACGACGCCTGCAGCTAACAGCCAAGCTAATCTGCGCTCCATTGTATGCTCTTTGTGCGGGGGCTGACTTCGTACCGTCCACGCGTCGTTGTCGCTGTCGTCGCCGTCGCTGGTCGTATTCGTCGCGTATCGGCACTGATTCTGATTCCAACCCAACCCACAGTGATATGGGGGCTGCACGGAATTTCATAACGCCCTTCCCCCCACCTCACACAGAGGTACATATGCATGTACATATCCCCGCACCTGCACAGATGTGTGTGTGTACCCGTACCCCCAATGCCCATGTGCTACCGTACATAGATATGCAGCAGTTGCCGCTCGTCTCGTCTCGTTTCGTTTCGTTCTATACTCCATATTTAGTGAATCAGCTGCGATTGCACGACAGATAATCAGTCTCGTCTCTCCCGGGAGAGGACTGCGTGCACTTTCCACACACACACACACACACCTTTGGATGGCTGACCACTTTGATACCCTGCATAACGACCGATATGTGTGTGTGTGCACCCATTTGAAACGCAACAAAGGGATTTCTTTCTCCCGAATCACTTGTGTACGACGTAATACAATAAAGAACACACAGAATTTAATTTGTTGAAATTACTTCCATGGAAGTTGTGTTAAGGCCGGTTAAAGCGGGGCGCAATCAGCACGATAGTCATCACAGGCCAGGCCGAGCTCGGAGCTGTTGCGGCAGGTCGTCGCGATAATGAAAGTCGCCCGCAACAAGTCCATTTTCGACACTTTCGCGACGGGGGTGGATGAGGGTACATACATACATATATGTATGTAATTCTGTTATTTAATTTGCAGTTAAATAAATATACCCCGGTACATACGGGTATATTAAATGGATGCACTCGAGGAGCAACTAAAAGTATCTGAATATCCATTTGCAGCAGGGAATGGCGCAATCCCAGGGTACTGCGCAAGTCGCAAGGTGTTCAGTGTTCCCCCGAAGGCAAACTTGGGTTTCCACATGCCTGCTGCCGCCCTCATTCTCTCTATTGCACGTACAAGCAACACCTTATACGTAAGTCTCATAAATTAAATTGTTTGTTGAACACACTTTAGATTAGTATTAAATTCCACCAGTGCCCCCCAGTACCCCCCAGTACCCGCACCAATCCACAGACCGCGATAAGATAGAATTTTGGTTTGGTTAAGCCTATCGAATGGGCGATAGGTGACAGTCTGTCAGCTGTTTTTGCGCGATAGCAAAGCAGAAGGAGAAAACAAAAGAGTGCAGTGCAGAAGAGAGAGGATGAACCGAACCCACTTCAGACATCAGAATCATCACCATGGCGAACGCCTGCGTGTCCGACAGCGACAGCTTTGTGGTCTACGACTGCGACATCGGCACGGACGATGCCTGGGGCCTGGCAATGCTTCTGCGTGCCGAAGGCCTGCCCATCGCTGGAAGGAAGAGCTTCAGGGTGACTGCCGTCACCTGTGTCCAGGGCAACACCAGTGTGGAGAACGGCACACTGAACGCCTTCCGAGTGCTATCCACTTTGGAAAGGCTGGATGTGAGTATTGCCATCAATATGGATCACATTCCTCTCTCCAACTACCCCTTTCTGTTTGTTGTTGTGGTGGAACGAGTAGGTGCCGGTCTTCAAGGGGTGCGCCGATCCGATTGTGCCCCGCACTTGGGCACTTAAGTCCCAGTTCCATGGCGTGGATGGCCTGGGCGATGTGGGCGACTATCCGGCCGTGAATGCCGACGACCTTCTGTCGGAAGAGCATGCGGTGAATGCCATGTACCGGCTGGCCTGCCAGCACCCAGGCAAAGTTGACTTCCTGCTGTGCGGGCCCCTCACGAATTTCGCCTGCTGCATTAATTTATATGGCGATGCGTTTCTGGACAAGCTGGGCGGCGTCTATATCATGGGCGGCAACATTCTGGGCAAGGGAAACGTCACCAAGAGCGCCGAATTCAACTTCATGATGGACCAGGAGGCGGCGCACATTGTCCTCGAGCGTCTGAAGCGACCCGCTCTGATCTTGCCCTGGGAGCCCTGCATCGATGGCGAACTCGGGATGACTCTGGACTGGCGGCTCAATGTTTTGGGCGCTGTCAAGCATCCGTTTGTTGAGCTCCTCACCCGCGTGGAGAGATCCATGCTGGTGCCGCGCGGCTTTCAGAAGTGGGTCAGCTGCGATGCTCTGCTCACGGCTGCCTATCTCTTCCCTCAGCAGATGATCGCCGATGAGCGCGAGTACTACGCCACCGTGGAGCTGTGCGGCGTCCACACCCGCGGTCAAATGGTGCTGGACCATTTGCGGGGCCGTTGGGTGGATGCCATCCATGGCAAGACCAAGAATGTTCGCGTTATCCGTCGACTCAATGCAGAGCCCTTTCGCACAATCATTTCGTATACGGCTTTCCTACCCCAAGCAGAAATTGATATGGAAAGATTGTGTAAGGAGGAGGAGCAGCAGCAGCAGCAGTCCTAGAAAGGGACCCAGCACCGAGTGCAGTTCTCGTGCCAAAATGTCCAGTGTATGCAGCTCCTTGTTTTGAATCTATGTTTTTATGCTGAATAAATTGATGGCGAGTGTGCCACAGCAGAGTTCTAATATGTATACCATAGTAGGTGATGCCGACGAGCGGTAGTGCTAAGCCAATGCGGAGCTACGCGATGATACTGTATCATGCCTAATCCAGAGCCTGTACCCCGCATACGCCATGCTTGTATGCAAGCTGGAGCTGAAGCCTGTAGCTGTAGCTGAAGCCTGTAGCTGGGGCTGAAGCCTGTAGCTGGAGCTGAAGCCTGTAGCTGGGGCTGAAGCCTGGAGCTGTAGCTGTAGCTGAAGCCTGTAGCTAGAAGATAATACACGGCGGGAGGGGCAATATCAAACTACAAAAATGTCTGGTGTATATATTTCCTTGATAAATGTACAATCAGTGAATAAATTGATGCGAGTGTTCCATAACAGTGTTCGAATTAGCGATGCCACGTGCACAAAGTCTCTAGGTGTATACTGATATAAGTATCAGTTTCTATATAGTACGTAGTATATATGTATGTATGTATGTATATACATATGCACACCATATACAGTATGCACGTATATGCAATTAGCTAAAAAACTAAATAAATGTTAAATATCAGAAGGAGCAACAGGGCAGGCAGCAACAGCAGCAACTGCTCTTTTCTCCATTGCCAGCTAAGATGCACATATGTACATATATAGTATATAATGATACATTATATGGCAAACACACGCGTGGGTGTACTTTTCTCTACTTTTCTCGTTTGTAATCTGAGCCCGGTTTATGGTCGTGGGTCGTGGGTCTTGGGTCGTTGGGGTTCTGTCTGATAAGCCAAACCAGGTGTCAGGTGTTTGCCACAGCTCTACGAGTATTTCCCTAGCATCATCCACTCGCACATAATTGACTCTCCAACTGGTTTCGTTTTCCTTGCAGACAGATAACAAATTTCTTGCAGTGCGTTTCAGAGAATAAAACTTTGCATGTGTGTGTGTGTGTGCTACATACTACCCGTATATATTCATAGTGAATGAGTTCCCACTAGATCCCACTAGTTATCCTATCCTATCCAATAGCTCGCTCACAGTTGAGTTAAGTTTTAGTTTAGTTATCCAAAAGGGGCAGTAAATACTCGTAAAATCGAAAAGATTGCGTCAACAATTATGATTAGGCCGCTAAAATGTTCAGTTATTGCTTTCGATTAGTTTTAGATCAAGACATTGAGGGCCTCTTAAATTTAAAACTGGATTTTGTGCATTTTTTATTATTCAATTTTAAAATTAACCTACATCAATTCCTACAATTTCCTAGAGCGCTTGTGGCTCTGAAACGCACTGTACAGTGTACACAAGCCGAACAACCGAACAACCGAACTCCCCTCAAAAAAGTGCCTAAATAAAAGCTACTATCAAAAGTCACACATGAAACGGGGGGCTTAATAGTCGACGAAGAAAAAGATTGTACACATTGGGACAAATAGTTCGCCTTTCATTCGATTCTAGACACTAGTCAACAAAATCCGATACCCATAAATTATAAGGAAACTCGAAGGATTTTCGGCGCACGTCAGGTGAAAGATATCGCGGTACATTTTCCCTTAAAGATCTAACACAGTGAGAACTAACAAAGAAGCATACTTCGGGGTTTCTGCAGCTGTTTTAGTGGTTCATTTCAGACAGTTTGTTGCGCACTTTGTGTGTCTTTATGGCCGAGAATCAACAGCGAAATGTTAGCAAACAACTGGCCGCAAATTAAAAGAGAAATCTAATAAGAAGTGTGCTGATATTTCGCAGACGGTGAGCTTAGGTTAAAAAGTTGCTTAGGGCCGTTTGCCAGGGGCTTTGCTGTTGACTAGCGCTCTCTAAGCATGGGGCAGATGGAGAAGATGCGGGTATATATATGTATATATGTATATACATTTCTATGCATGTATGCTTGTGTGTATAATTAGGAATAAGTTTGGTTTTTTTTGGTTTTAAGATAAGGCCAACTGGAAAAAGGATGCTCTACAAAGGCTTTTTGTTTTGTATCCATGAAGATCTGAACAAGATTTGAGTTTCGAATTAGACGATGGCTATGGCTAATCAATCCTACATATAATCCTTGTACATACTTATGTATGTGTGTATACGAAAGGAAAAACACAAACAAGAATTCCAACAGTGCGTTTGGTTCGATGCTACGGCAGATCCTAGACAGGTATCCCGGTGCGGTCTTTGATCTTTCCTAGGACATTCACGTGCACCTTGGAGTAGCCGCTGGGCTTTTTGGCCAGGCCGGGTGCAGCGGCGGCAGCGGCAGCAGCTGCCAGTGGCACGGCCGCCGTCGAGATGCCCACATCCAGGGAGGCGGAGCCCGAGGCCGAGGAGAGCGGCGACGAGTGCTTAGAGTCATCGAGATGCGAGGAGCGCTGCGTGGACAGCAGCAGATCGTCGCTGCTGGGCCGCATCGATGAGGGTGTGTAGATGGGCTGCAGCTTGTCCACCTCATCGTCAATGGCCTTGAACTGCCAGCTCCAGTTGGGCCGATACAGGAACGGTCGGTGGTCGAAGCGATTGTCATCGGGACTGTAGCTCTCGGCATGCACCGATGGCGTCAGCACGGTCATCTTGTGCCGATTGATGGCATAGCAGCGAAAGAAATGCTTCACCTTGTCGGCCACCTCCTTGGGACTGAGGTCGCCCTTCCACGTGGCCACCAAGTGGCAGAACATGCTGTAAGGCCCGCAAAAGGACTGCTTGCGCAGGCGCCCATACACGCTCAGCTCATCATAGGTCATGCCCATGTCCTGCTCGTCGGTCTGCTGCAGTTCTCCGTTCTCCTGCAGCGGCTCCAGCTCTGCGGTGGGCGGTGCCTCAATGATAGACTCCAGAATGGGCAGATTGTACCTGGAACAGATGGCAGATGCCAGAGAGCAGATAGCAGATGGATCAGCGGTCACAGGTCACAGGTCAAAGGAGAGGGATGAAAATTCGCTTATGTACTTCTCTTTGGCGTAGACCAGAAAGCGTCGGAGATCCGTCTTGGATATGCCCCCGATGGGATTAATGTCCGCCGATGAGCAGTCATACTTTGTCAGATATCCGCGCAGCGATTCATCCACATTCGCGGAGCCCAGGACGAGCAGCCCGCCCGGTCGATTCCTCACCCACAGCATAAGCTGCGCGAATATGTACGCCAGGACCATGCGCAGGCGCGACTGGATGTTCTGCAGCGCTAGGTTCTGGCGCGCGCAGCCGCCCTGTGTGCGAAAGCGGGGCGTCAGACCGGTGACGGCATTGAAGATGCCCAGCAGGGCATTCACCGCCAGATCGATGCTGATCTCGATGTGATAGCTGCCGAGCTGGTTGGCCAGCTGTGCGGCCCGTCGGCGCGTCTCCTTGCTGCTGTTGACGCTGCCCATGTAGCAGGTGACCAGCAGGCGGTTGCACAGCGTGGCCGCATTGTCGGGCGTGTAGTCCGTGTCGGCCAGGATCTTTCGGATGTCGTGCAGCACCTGGGCGTCGCCCAGCTGCACGGCCTGCACAATCTGGCGGCACATGGAGTGCACAATGGTGGCCGAGCTGCTCGAGTCGATGCCACCGCTCAGTGGCAGAAAGAATCCGCCCTGGCCGGAGCGACGCAGATAGTCCCAGAGCCAGCAGGCCGGCCCCAAGGCGATCTCCTCCTCGGGCCGTGTGGCTGGGCCAGTGCAGCGGCGGGGTTGATGTCTTGAAGATGTCGCTGTGCGTGGACATCTCAAAGTCACAGTGGATCCGCGGATAGTTGGCCGCACTGGCGGCCGCCGTGCAGCGCGAGCGCAGGCTCACGCGATACGCGCGTATCTCCTCCAGGTCAATGGTGGCCAGGGTCACCTCCACGTCCTGCAGGGCAAACTGCTGGCCCCTGGCAAGCAGCTCGCCATTCAGGGCAATCGCCGAACAGCCGTTGAAGTACACCCTCTGCCCGTCGCATCCGCGCAGATTGCTGAACAGATAGGCCCCGCCCGCCTTGAAGCTGGCATTCCGTATCAGATCCGAGGTGATGTGGGCCTTGCGCAGCTCCATGTAGCTGCCGGACCCATTGACAATCACCTCCACGCCGGCCAGCGACATTTCGATGTGTTTGCTGCGCACATTCCACAGCTCCTCGCAGATCTCATAGCCCAGGCAGGTGTCGCGTGTGGCAATCACCGCATCGCCAAATGGCACCGTCTGCTGGCCCGTGTGCTGCGATATCATGCGCGGCAGCAGGAACTCCTCCGTTTGCATGGACTTGGTCCAGGCGGTGAACCAGCGCGACTCCCGATAGTTGCCATCGTCGCACATGGCCATTTTGGGTCGAATCAGCAGCAGCTGCCGATTGAAGAAGGCCACGCGACAGTTGTAGGCGACATTGCGATGCATCACCGGCATACCCACATCCACCAGCATGCTCTCGCTGTAATTTTGAAACGGGATTACAATTCATTCGGTGGCTCTTTGCGTGGCTTCCACTCACCAAATGGGCGACATCATGATCTCCAGCAGCACCTCCCATGAGTGCAGATATGTGTCCGGCTCCCGAAAGTGATCCTCGCAGCTGTAGCCACTGTGTTGGATAGATAAGTAAAAGGATATTTTCTTTAAGTGAACCAAAAAAAAAAAAAGATCTTTCAAGCGTTTAAGCGTTTCGTTGCCATTTTGTTTCGATGTTCCATGCTCCTCGCTAATCGGTTATCGTTCCTCGTTCGTTGTTCCTCGTTCCTCATACCATATACAAATAGAAGCAGAAGTGCTGCCCAGAATGGAGAATCACATTACATTTAAGCGTTAAGGGCACTTACCTAACCTCCAGCTCGGGTCCAGTGCGATAGCTAGCGCCCATATCCTTGGCCTCCAATATGGACTGCAATATCCTTGCCAAATTACCCTCAAAGTCCAGGGCCCACTGATTCAGTGTGGACACAGCCACAGTTATTTTGCGTCCCATTTTTATCTGTATTTGTATTTGTATTTATTCTCCTGATTGTTTCGCTGTTTTGTTGGTTGTGTTATTGCCTCCTCTTTGCGTTTAGGTTTTACTCTCTTTTTGTTTATTGTCAGTTCACAAAAATCGGCAGTTATCAACTGGAAAATGGAAACAAAAACGTAGCGAGGAGGTTGGTCTTTAGGCTTAATGGACAGGACAATGCTGTTGCAGTTGCAATTAATTTGATTGCCGCGCGCGATGCAGCCGACGCGACTTCTTCGAGTCTCTCGGCACTTGGTTCTGCGTGGTGTGTGGCTGCCCATTGTTGCTGTTTGTTTTGTTGTGTGGGACATAACTGGGTCTCTATTGATCAAACAAATGACGCAGAAAAGGGGACAGGGCAGGGCAGGGCAGGGCGGGCAGTAGTGGAGCAGCAGCACCCGCTGACGTAGCCCGGCAATGGACAGATGGGGAGAGGGCAAAGTGGAGGAGGGACTTTGTTTAAAGATAAGGGTGGATATGATTTCATTCGGGATACCCTCTGTGTGATATTGCTTTCCAGCATGTTGGGGAATGGCCCCCCCTTCTATTTAAACCACCAGATAAAAGGATTTGTTGAAGCGGTGCCTCATCATTCATCATTCAGGGCAGCTAAGGGGCCGGGCACTCTTCCATTTATGGACGCACTTTTGGCATTTGGCAAGCAACGAAAATTGTAAGCATCTCCCCCCCCTCCGTATTCCTGTATGCAAATTTACCTTTTTGCGAGGTTACCCAAAAGTTTAAAACACGCAACGAGCACTCCTTTCAGCTCCTCCACCTGCACCTACTGCTGCAATCATGCATGCATGAGCATGAGGTGGCAAAAACTCTGCATTAAGTTCAAAGTTCATTCGCCAAAGGAACCCACTCGCGCACATTTCATTTATCCTGGCTTGTGTGGATGGCCACCTGACAGCAGGAACGAAACGGAACACACGCTCCGCCCAAAACACCAAACCTCAAAGCCCAAATGCCTCAAACCATCAAGCCATCAAAGCAAGTGCCAGTACGAGGAGCTCCGCTCCTCACAAAGCTGCGTTTAGAATTCTTTTCGACTATGTCTGAGAGCGCTGAGAGCGCGTGTTGCTGCGAGTGCGAGTGTGTGTGTGTGTGTGTGTGTGTGTGGAATGGGCCGCCGTCACCGCCTGTCAGGTGGTCTTTTGGGGGCAGGGCAGCCTGCGTGTGGCAAGACAAATGCATTGAACTCTGAACCGAGCCAAAGTGCACAAAATGCAGAAACAGAGCAGGAGCAGGAGCAAGAGCAAGAGCCGGAGAAAAAAAAACAAGTAAAAATACAGCAAAAGCCGAGCCTCAAAGGAAGAAGAGAACGAAACCTTATGCCAATTGGCAGCCAATTTTAATGGCACATAATCAGTGGAGGAAGCAGTGGAAGAAGCAGTGCAAGAAGCAGTGCAATGAGCAGTGAAACGGGTGGAACGGGCTACAATACATGCTGTGCGATTATCAAGCGCATAAAGGGTGAACCACTGGAATACTGGAACAGTGCGTGCAGACTCAAACACACAGAGAGAGAGAGAGAGAGAGAGAGAGAGAGAGAAGAGTCCATGCTGTGTGCCATGTCTAGCCAGTGATCTGTTCCAATTTTATTATAATACGTGAGAAGATTGATTTTATGCTGTATGCAGGCAGGCACCCTGTTTTAACTCTCTCGCATGTGCATTATTGGAGGCGCTGGTGCTGGCACGCCAAGCCCAAGTTTGGCAGTCGTATAGATTACGGGTAATGGGAACTGGCACTGGGAATCGGGAAGTGGAAATGAATATGGGACTGGCATCGACGGCGGCCGGGCCGAGCCGGGCCGGGCCGGGCCGGCAGGCATCCTGGCCCAGTCGGCTGCTCGGCTGCTGCTGATAGCTGCCACTAATGCAACTAATTCGCTTTGATTTGTTTGCCAGCACCGGCACCATCAGCCCAGCCCAGCCCTGCCCAGCCCAGCTCATACCCCGCATCGCATTGTCACGAAGTGTTTGGGGCCGCTTTTTCCGGCTGCCAAGCGGCATCCGGTAGCCAGTAATCCGGTATCCGGCATTGGTGGCCGTTCATTCACTCGCCACCGGAGGACGACGCGTAGAAGCGCTCAAAGCAGGGCGGAGCGAGAGAGAGAGAGAGAGAGAGAATCACAGCCGAGACGAGAAAGTGTGCCGAGTGAAAAATTTAAGTAATTCATATCTCTGCTCCATTCCATTCCATTCCATTCCAATCCGTAGCAGGCCAGTACTGTTCGGCCTTAGACACACGCACAACATCACAATATCCCATCCCAAAATATACATAGTTCAAATCTGATATTCCCACATATAGTACGTTTTTTTTTGTTTCTAAAGTTTCTCTCGCTCTTGCACACACACAAAGTCGGCAAAATACACGCGGCAAAATATAAAGTTCTCTCAAAATAACACAAGTGATAAGCTACGCAGGGAGTGGAGGCATCTGTGAGGCATCTGTGGGATTCATAGGCCAGAGCTCAAGGATGCAGAAGGGCGTCAAGGACAAGGACAAAGACAAGGAGAACAGCGATCAGCAACAACAGTCCAAGCAGACGACCAACGATGGTGAGTCCCTGCCCAAATGGCCCTTGGCTTTCATGGCTTTAATGGTGGCTTAGTGATTTCCCCTCTATATAAATCTAAAAGCAAACATCGAGAGCTTTAGTGCTTCCTAATTGGTAACTAGCTAAAAAAAAAAAAAAACCAAAAAAAATACCCAGGAAATCTATTTAACGCCTTGTAGGGGGGCGGGTAGAAAGGGGGATTTGCCTTTTCTATTGCACTTTCTTCTGTTTTGGCCGTGCAATTTCCGTTTCCGTACGTAGCCTGCTGGCATTTGACGTACCTGATGCCTGCCTGCCTGCCTGCCTGCCTGACGTCCGTGTCCGTTCCACCCCGTAAATAGTTTTGAAAAATTGTTTCTTTTTTTGGGCTCCTGCGTCTATTTTTGGCTTCGTAGCTCCAAATGCATATCAATAACAGAGCAGAACACGAGCACTAGTACTTCTCTCTCCCTCTCTGGTTTGGCTCCTGTCACTGTCTTGACTTGGGACTGCCTGTCCCTATGGGGTGGGCGGCGGTGGTGGGGGGATCTGGGGGTACTGCGGGCGGCCGCAGCCAAAAATACTACACGAAACCATTTGAGCAAACATCACAAAAGGGAGACGCAACCAATTGGTAAAGCAAAATGACAACACCGAGTCATGCAAGCCAGCCAGCCGCCAGCCGCCATCCGGCACCCCCCCGCCCGTCCGACCGACAACCACATCAAATGGAAACAAAGAGAGTGACTGGGGGTGGGGTGGGTGGTGTGCGCTGTGGGATGTTGCAGCAAAGTGTTGAGCCTCGGTCTGGGTTTACCTCCCGATTCGGTTGGGGGAGGGGGAGGGGAAGGGCGCTCCAATGACGCATTGCAGGCAGACGAACTCAGGTAACTGCTTGCTGCTTGCTGGTGGAAAAGATATTATACTCGTATACTCGTACTCCTCATGCCAATGGAATAGTTAGCCTCAATATTAATTAATTAAATAATATATTGATTTGTTTTACGTGACAAGCAATACACGATCATCATTAATCGATAATAACGCGATGAGTATCGATCAAAGCTCTGCATGTACCATTGTTCGCATCTCTAGTTCCAGCTGATCTCCCATTGTGCCACATTTCGTTGCCTTGCTGCACATGGCCCCCTGCCCTGCTGGGCCCCACCCCCCACGCCCCATCCTTTATTGCCCGTCATTGAGCCTCCAGCTCTAAGGACCTCTCTAAGGACGTCCCGCCGTTGCCAGGCCGCTGTCAAATGCCAATAAGCCGACATCGTCTCCATCCCCGACAACAACAATAGCAGCCAGCAGCAGCAGCAGCAAAAGCTGCAAAATTGGTGCCAAGCGGGGGCTCGTGCAAAAAGCACAGAGAGGGTGAGACAAAGGGGGAGTGGGAGTGGCGCTCACGCGCCAAAAGAGTAGGCAACATGAACGAGGAGCAAGAGGGAAGAGAGCGTACAAAGCAAGGTGTGTGCTCTCTTTGGCTCTCTTGTTTGCCATTGTGATCGCTGCTGAGAGAGCGAACAAGATCGGAAATGACCGCAAGGCATTTGTTCCAGCTCAAACGGGACTTTTAAAGAGTTTCCTATGTGTGTGTGTGTGTGTGTGTGTGAGTGTTATATTTTAAAATTGCAGAAAACAATGTTCGGGGCGTTGGAAGATGGGGTTGGGTGGGTCGTAGGAGCTGTGGCATGAGTTGTGTGGAAGGTGAGCCTGAAGTTAAGCGGAGTGTTCTTTGTTGCGCTGTTTATAGCCCATGTCGTGCGCAATTTATGTTAATCACAGCCAGAGTTGCCACAAGTTCTACCCGCACCTCCCCTCCCTCCCACCAACAGCCAGCGGTGTCAGTGGGGTGTCTGTCTCTCTCTCTCTCTCTCTCTCTCTCCCGCCCTCTGTCTCTTTCATGACCACTCCAATCCTCCAAGCCCACCCACCCACATCCCCGCTTTTGCCGTGTGTAGGCCTACAACAACAACAACAACAAAAAAAAACGAAAAACAATTTTTTTTTTTTTTTCGGTGCCTTGCACAAAGGCAACGACGTGGCAGCAACAATTTTAATGCCGTTGTTGCCGATGCCGTGGTTTACTGTGATTCGCAATTTTGCCACAGCCCCAGGCACAGGCACTGGCACAGGCCGAAGCCGGAGTCAGAGCCGGAGCCAAAGGAGCCGAGCCCATCATTGTCGTCCAAGCTCGCCGGAGAGTCAGTCCGCAGTTGCTTTGAGAGTGAGCCTGAGGCTGGCAGCCAAGTGGTCCCGCTACTTACGTGGGGAACTGCAGCAGTGGCAGAGAATAACGGAGAGTCCATATCCATTCAGCTGGACGAGTGCAGGGCGGGCGCGTCTTTGTCCCGTTATTCGTGCATTCCATTCTTTTGTATTATTTTTTGTGTGTGTGTGCGTGTTGTTTCGTGCCTCAAGTGCCCGCTGAGTCAGCGTTCTTTGCACCACATGGCGGATGAGACAATAACCGTTACAACAGCAGCCGCAGCAGCCGCAGCAGCAGCAGAGGCATCATCCTTCAGCTGTCTGCTGCGTACTTTGAGCGCAGCTTCGATAAGTAGCCGTCGTCGGCATCTAATCAAGCCCACATATCATCAGGCTTTCATCCAGCCCAAGCTTCATGCGCAGCACGCGGCGACAGAGACTGCCAGCGAGCGCTGCTGCAGCAGCAGCTGCAGCGACGCGGAGGATGAGTGTGGGAATGACACACACACCCACACAGGCGAGACGCTGGCAGAGCAGCAGCAGCCCGTCGACGAGGACAGGGACAGGGACAGGGAGAGGGACAGCGTTAATGTCAATTTGGTGAGAGCAAACTTCAAATGCAATGACATGGAATGCTCTCTCGTCCTGGGGGACTATGTGAATGGTGAGTGTCTCTCCCGCCACTCACTATGTGTGTGTGCATGTGCATGTGTATGTGTATGTACGTGCAGGCAGCGGATCGGATCAGATCAGATCAGATCAAAGACTGAATACAAATACCCTCGGGGCGATGATTCGAATATTAAGTATAATTCACAAAGTTCATAATTCGTTTTTCACTTTCAATTCATGTTCGTCGTTTATCTCTGTCACAATTATTATTCCGTTTATTATTTTGGCGCACACAGCATACACACGCGCGTTGAGCGCTGCCAAAATGTGGCAAGCGAACATTTTTAATTGCAATTTGTTAATTTTTACCCCAAGCGACAACAGCCACAAACAAGGGGGGCGGGGGAGTGGGAGGTGGAGGTGGAGCACCAGCGGGAAAAAGAGAAATAGGCTACAACAACGAGAACATGCAAAGGAAGGCTACAATGTTCGAGGGCCGAGTCTTTTGATTCCCTTGAAAGTACATCCTTTTATCGCTAAATTTAATAGTAATGCGATTGCCATTTGTTCGCCCAGAGAACTGTACTGTGATTGCTTTTTATAAATTGAAATTGCAACGAAAATGGACATCTACCATCTACGCTGACCGAGATGCTGCATATACCCTACATACATATTTGCAAGGGTATGCATACACAATAAGAGCAGAACACGAATATGACAAAACAAAGTGCGAAGCCAAAGAGAGCGACGGACAGAGAGTGGGAGAGAGAGCTAATCGCTGGCACAATTCGATGATTGACGAGGGCCAAGCATGCGGTGTGGTGAGGGCAGAGACGCGGGATGCGGCAGTACCGGGGATACGATACGGTGAGAGAGTCTTTTCACCTTGGCAGTCATGGCGGGCGGAGCTTGCCAAAATAGAAAACACATAAATTGCACGATCAAGATCATTGCTGCCGCTGCCGCTGCTTCTGCCACTGCCACTGCCACAGCTGCTGCTGGCTGGCTCTGTGCATCTATCTATGTATTTGCGATGACATAATCCCATAGGCACATAGGCAGAGCAGCAATCAAGAGACAGAGGGAGGGAGACAGAGGTGGAACATGTGGATTAGGACTCACGTCGCTGCTGTCCTCTCTCTCTCTCTTTCTATGCTTCTCTCCCACTCTTTGACACCTGTTCGTTTTGTCTCCGCATAGGCAGCGCAGCTGACAGCAGCTGCCACTGTGGGAGGAGTGGGACCTCAGAAATCTACGACTTTGACTAATTTGTTTGGCAGCGAGGTTTTTTTTTTTCATTTTTCTTTGCTGCAGCAGCAGCTGATCGTGACGGGGGGCCAGCCAGACAGTGGCCAGAGGCCAGGGGCCAATATAGAGGGCGGGCATAATGGGCTGCGCAGAGCCAAGTAACGGATACTCGATACCAATAGACCAATCGACAGATCGATCACACGAAAACATTTCACATTTCTGTAAGGATGCGACCCTGTGCTTTCGCTCGATAAACGATAAAGCAGCTGCAGCTGCAGGTGCACCATCACTAGATGCAGTGTTCCAAAACGTTCCATCTGAGCTCTGCAGAACCTACCACAGCCACTTGACAGTTTCTACTTTCCAGTCTCGTGGATTGTTTCGTTTGTCGTTTTTGGCTCACCTCCCGCCACCCAACGTAATCGAGAATCAAATGGCAAAACGGTATGCATCACTTCGATCCACTTCCAGGAATCATTTGTTGCTTGTTAGAATATATGTACTATGTGGTGGGTATACAAATTCCGTGTTGTTTTTTTCTGTTTTTTGTTTTCCGTATCCAAGGCTGGGTTGCCTTTGCCTTTGCCTTCCCCTTTGGCTTTGTTTGGACACCTAGCCGGAATCAAATCAAATCAAATCAAATCGAATTCATGTTCATGGCATGTCTGTGTGCCTGCATGGGTATGTCTGGGCCTCAGTCGGGGCCGCCTCTCTATGCCACATAGAATGCCAGGACTACCTTGCACTTCCTCTATTCTTTTTGTGTTTTTTTTTGCTTCTTTTTGTTTTTTTGTTGTTTTTGGCATTAGAGACAACCGACAATGGCAGCAGAGAACAACGGCTAGAGGCCTGGCGAGGCGAGGCTTGGCTTGGCTTGGCTTGGCTTTGTTTATTTGTTTATAACAGTCGCACAGTGGAAATTCGAAGTTGGCTCACAGCAGGCGGGCCGCCGCCAGTTATCGAATGGGGAAAACCACTCAGTTATCGCCGCGACGCGACGCAATGCGAGTCGGAGTCGGAGTCGGAGTCGCAGTCGGTTCGAGTAGGAGTCGTCTTCGAGCAAAGCAAACAAATTCAAACAGAAAGCCACACAAAATAATAATAATCAGCGTCAAAATGCCGCCCAACGAGGGCCCCGGAGCCGACGACACCATTTATCCGTGTGCTCATATCCAGGGAGTTGCATAAGCACGAGCAGAAAGCCCATCTACACAGGAGTGCACTAGTTCTAGTACTAGTACTAGTACTACCATTAGTAGTAGAAGTAGTAGCAGAGTTTTTGCATTTCAATGTGTGCCAAACAAGCCAAACAAAACTGCAAATCGAAATAGATCCGAGAACATCTACATACATCGAGTGGATTAGCCAGCAGCCCTAGCCCTGCATCATTCTTCCTCTTTGGCAATCCTCTCAAGGCCCATTGCCATCATCATGTCGTAGGGTCGTCGCGAATCTGAAATCATGGACTTTGGCGGCGGCGGTGGGCGCGTGCAATTTCTTCAGGCTCAACTCTTTCCCGTCTGCACGCTGACCGCATCCAGTGGAGGTACAAGTTAGTGTAATCCTATCTAATATGCGAGTATGTGATATAAGATCGTTCAGATCGTCATATTACATACGACTAGACTATATGTGTATATTTTAGTAAGCCAGTTGCAGCGCTTTAAGGTTCTTTTTATGTTATGCCCCCGGGTTCCATGCAAGCTACAAAGTTCAATTCGCAACTGTTCTGTTTGGCTGAGTTAAAGTTCCATCTTTCAGACAGCTTCTCAGCGCTGTTAGATGGTAGTCAGAACTCACCAAGAAAGGATATTAAGGGTAAGCTCAGACCTACAAAATGGGGACGGAAATAATATAAAGAAATATTCAACAGACTGAGGTACGGGAGGTTCTAACGTTTGCTTAGACAAAATATATAATTGTCTGTGCTCAAAGGAGACATTCAAGTCTCAAGGAATGTTGAAAGATGTTTGGGAACATTTATCTGTGAGAAGAGAATTATCCATAGAGAATACTTACTTTCAATTGGTTATAATTGGTAATTGTTTGTTTGTTGTTTGTTGCTTGTTGCTTGGTTTGTTGTACGAATTCGGTTGTCTAAGGGCACCTCGGTGTTTGTGTTGTTTTATTATTTTTTTATTTTGTTAAGTGTTCTCTTGGTCCTGTACTACATGGCCCAATTTTTGGGTCCGGGGCCGATGGAGTAGTACTGTTCAATAATCGTTCAATAATTCCTGTTGCCTGCTGCAAAGGTTTCGTTGGTTGTTTCGTTTTGTTTTGTTTTGTTTTGTTTGTGGAATCTGTGCACCTTCTTCTTCTGCTGCTTTTCTCGTTCTCGTTCTCCTTCTCGTTCTCTTTCTTGTTCCGTCCTTTGATTTCCCTTTTTTATTGTCCTTCTTTGGCCACACACACACACACGCACGCACGCACACACTGCTGCAATCACTGGAAGATAAACAAATCGGATATAAATTGGTATTAGAATTAGCCGTAAAGTTGTTTCCGTGGTTGGTTGTGTGTGGAGAGGGGTGTGGGGGCTGTCATGACAACGCCAACAAAATCATTAGCACACAAAAGAAAATCACACAGAAATCACAGAACTCGAAAGTTGCAAATCAAAAGGAAAAATCAAAGTCGTTTCCATACCATCCGTCCAACAGGCAGCGGCAGGGGCAGCGGCAGCGGCAGCCCCGTATGTTGGGGGCATAAAAATACATTCGCAGTTCATTGAATTGCGATTAACGATATTCTCCATCCCCCACCAGCCCCCAGACCATGCATAAATCACCCCAAAATCAACCAAAAACCACCTCAATTTCTCATTAATGTCGTCGTCGTCGCTGTCGTTGTCGTTTGCGGGGCTGGGCTGGGGTTTTTCCTTTTCCTTTGGCTTTTTTTTTTGTACCACGGGCATTTCGTTCGGTTCGAGTCTGATGGCAATAAACATCGCATATAGAGCATGCAATTGCAGGTGGAAATGGCTAAAGACGATTGCGGGAATGCCCTTCTCTCAGGACCCGCATGGAAGGGACAAACAAACAAAATAATAATATGTATCGGGGTTATTTTGGATCCCAATTAAAGATACGATTGAGCCGGGGTGTCGGGAGTGCATTCATTCACTGTCAGTCGGAATCGCAGGTCCAAAAACGTGTTAGAATAGAAAGGGAAAAAAGTCATGTACACGACATGCATGTTGTTTTCGATCTATTCTCGAACGGGGCGAGCAAAAAGACGTGGCGTGGGCCTGCATCTATATTGGGTCGTAGCTGCTCATAATAAATCCAAAAGGCAACGACCACAAAACACACAAAGAAATCCAAAATATCAGAAGAAATAATTAAAAAAAACCAAGAGAAACCAAATAAATAAAGAAAATATCCACAATGGGAAATAAAATTGTTGAGAAAATTGTGAAATTCGATGAATTTTGTTGCGAGGGAACCCACCGAGAGATGAGATGAGATTTTGTATTGCGACGCAGCGCAGTTTCTGATCGGGTCTGGTCTGTGGTCCGTGGTCTGTGGCCTGTGGGCAAGGCATTGGCCGAATGTTTCTAGCCGTTTGGGAGATAAACAAAATGCCATAAATATTACAAATTATAATACAATTTAAAAGGTAAATAATATGCACAACATTTTGTTGCAATTAGGAATCTCTCTCGGTAGCCGATAGCCGATAGCCGCGGCGGCGGCGGCAGCGGCATCGGCAGCTTGGCATTCATCCGTGGCTGGCATCGCGACGCCGATTGCTGCCTGCATTTGAGCATGAAAATTTAATTAATGCTAAATTCCTGCCAGTCTACCGTCGCCGTGTACAGTGCAGTCGACGTTGCATGCAGCATGCAGCAGGGAGCAGGGAGCTGGCGCTGGGCGCAACATTTCAAAACAGAGAGAGCTTTGGGTGGCTTGTCTTTCTTTCTTTCTTTGCTTTGCTTTTCTTTGGTTAATGAATGAAATCAGGAATGTGGGAATGTCTTTTGCTTTTTTTTTTTCTTTTTGGGTAACAAAAAGTGGCATCGATTTGGGGGCACTGGGGGGTGACAGGGGACCACAGCAAAAGGGAAAACTATTCGCTTAAGAAAAGCTCCAGCGACAGCTGGCATTTGAAAGCTCAAAAGCCACAAATAATGGAGCGGCACGGGAAGGAAAGGAAAGGGAAGGGCAGGGCAGGGTCCCGTCTCCTGCCATTACGCATGCATCGTTTGAGTGCAAGGTCAAGGTCGTCGTGGGGCAAGCTTTTTGCAACCAAAGTGGTTCATGTGTGTGTGCGCGCATTCTGGATATCAAAGCAAACAAACAATTTAAGCAACAGAATATTAAATTACTTTACACAAATCTAACAATTCAGCTGAGTTCAGCCGTTCCCCCTGCTCGTGGAAACATTCCCTCAAAAGCTATACTCGGTCCACTTCTAGTGTAAATCTTTATTCATGCTACACAATGTAATATTAGTCTGCATTTGTTGTGTTTGTTGATGCATATAACAATATAATAGCGAGAGATTTTCTTCGTATATGATTTCCCCTTGGCAGCTTTGCTCCGATTCCTTCAATAAATAAATACCAAAAATTTATTCGAAGAGTGTATTTTATACAAAAATATTCACATATTCTTTTGTCTCTAAATAGTTTCTTTAAATGCAAAAATTGGAATTAATTCCTAGAGCAATTTGTTCGTTCTTTTTAATATCATTTTTTGATTCAATATAATCTCTTAATGGATTTTTTTTTTACTTCAATATTCTCTAATATGATTCATGATTAAATTTCTGGCACAAAAATCTCCCTTGTTAATTCAACTACCATTTGAATCGTTTCCAGCTAAAACCATTTTTGTTTTTGCCCTTTTTGCCTTTCCCGCCCCCAAAAGTTAAACCGATTCCGATCACCATAGGATATAGGATTAATTAAGTGAAGACTAGCGACTAGTTGCTGGCGTTAGATGAGACGATCGATTGGAGTTCTCTGTGGAATTCGTCGATATCCTTTAGATTGTTGATTCCACAATTTCACACCGATAACAACCAATAACGATAACGATTAATTGAAGCTCGATTTATAATCGTTGGGACATCGTAATGGGCACACACCAACACACACACATGACGAAGCCTGACGAAGCTCAAAACACCCAAAACCCACACACAGGATAACGGTAAACAGCTGCAAACAGCTGATGGGGCGCACAAAAAAAAAAGCTAAAACGCCCAACCACCCACTGCTTGCGTCGCGTCGCGTCGCGTCGCGTCGGCAGCGAAAGTGCAAAAGCTCTCTGCCAGCACTCTCTCACACGCTCTCACACGCGCCTCCCTCTCTCTCTCGCTCTTTTGGGTTCCTTGCTCTTTCGAATTAAATAATATTTGCTGTCCGCGCTGTCGCTGCCGCTGTCGTTGCCGCTGTCGCTGCCGCTGCCGTCGTCTCGCAGTCGCAGTGGCAGTACGAGAGGTGCACACGCATCGACGTCGCCAACGACGCCAACGATGGCAGAGACAACCGAAGCCAACGGCAACGGCAAACGGCAACGGCAACGGCAAACGGCAGCGTCTGTGTGGCAAAGGAAGATTTTGAGCATTCCTCCACATTCGCTTGGGTTTTCTGTTTTAGTCAACAACGCGGCAACGGCAAGCGCCAAACACGACACAAACAAGAATCGCCTCCGACCGACCAACCAACCCACGGACCGACCAACCCACGGATCCACCGACAAAAATATCAAAACAGAACGCCAAATATCCGTGTGAATCGAAATCGAAACCAAAAGTAAAATCAAAATTCAAAACCAAAACCAAAACGATTCGAGTTCAAACGGTTCTTGGACGCCGTCCCTCGTTCTCCATCTCCGCTGAATTCGCGTATTTCGAATCAAAAGTAAGCCACAATCGAATCGCATTACAATTTAAGCCCAAACGGTTCTGCTGTGCTCCCAATCTCTATGTTTATTATGTATCTTAGAATATCTATCTATCTATCTATCTATCTATCTATCTATATCGGTTCTGCACAAAGTTTTCTATAGATTTCTGTTCAAAATACATTGTGCTTTTGGTTTTATTCTATTTGTTTTTTTTTTTTTTTTTTTTGTTTTTTTTTGTGTGTTATTTTGTTTGAGTGCCACACGAAATTTTTGAATATCATTTGCCAAAAACAAGCCAAAAATTCGGCCCCAAAAACGAAACAGCTGTGCGTGTGTCTCCTCCTCTCTCATTCACCCACTCAACCCCTCTCTTTTTCTCTGTCTCTCCTCTCTCTCTCTCTCTCTCTCTGCATGTCTTTGCTTCGCTCTGTGTTGTCATTTTCGCTTTTGGAGCAGCAGCAGCCCCCCCCCATTCCGCCCCATTTCGAGTGTTGATCTTTTTGCCGGTAAGCGCTGGGAACCCACAGAAATCCATTGAAACGAGCTGTGAAGCGATTTGACATAGTTTTACGAGGAGGAATCTATCTGTATCTGTACATGAGTGCCGAGTGTCGTGCAAAATTATACACAACATATTCAGGCGGGTAATCTCCGTCCTGACATGTTCCGAGAATAATTCAAAAAGACAAATCCCCCGCCAACGAGCGAACTCGGTGCAATGGATTACCCGTACCCCTACCCGTACCCCTACCCCTACCCGTACCCATAGTTGTTGTCTTCTTTTGAGTGTGGGGCAGAGGCTGCTACGTACGGATAGCCAGTGACGGCGGAAAATCTTCTAATCTTGTTTACTTGCAGTTCCATAGATCTCTTTAAATGGGGGGAAGACTGTTTAAGAATGGTCTTCTTCATCGCATTCCCAAAGGATTAATAACAAATATAACGTTTAGCAGATGGTCGAAAATGTATAGGAAATTGTGGAGAGAAAAGCTAGCAAATAGAATTATTAGAAATTGCCACAGGACTGCATTTAATTGTTTATAATTAAGATATATGAAAGTGTAAAGAGAAAGTTCATACCATATTTGTAATCCATATTTCTAATTCTTATTTAACACTTTACTTTTTTTTTTTTGTTTAAATATAATAAATTTTGTAGGGGAAAGGCTTCTCTATTTTTAAGCAAAAAGTACAAGCATCGAGTCACTTCTACCCTATTTATTATTATTATTATTAGCGGTTATAGGTTTCCATTAATTTCTTTGTTGAAATAATTGTTGCCCTTCAGGGCTCATTTAAAAATTATAAACACTTTTTGTATAAAGTTTCCTTAATAGTTTCCAATCTATTGCACTTTTTGTGTGTGTGTGTGTGTGTGTGTGTGTGTGTGTGTGGGTTAAACCTTTATTTCCTTAAGGGCTTATGGCTTTATCTGGTTTTTACCATACTCTTATACCCAGGATTTTATCCCTCCCCTCCAGCACTGCCAGCCATTCAGCCATTCAAAAGCTTTCACAATTCCATTTAATTTCCAAATATCTAACAAATAATATTAGCTATTATTTCCCAATTATTTCGCTTTATTAATTCCATTTTTCGTTAAGAAAAGAAAATCTTAGAATTGAATTTTGAAAAATCTGTACGAACAAATCTGTTGGCCATAAATCTCTGCGCAACATTTAATGGGTTCGCTGGCTTTCCTCGAAGAGATTTTGTCTGCTTGACTAAATGTTCATCTTGGTGCGAACATAGGCCACATTTCGGCATCGGATGTGCCGCGATGCCATTAAAAGAGATGCCCGATGACGATGGCACACGCATTAAAAAAAAAAAGAGCATGCAAGTTATTAGCGATATTTAATCGAGTTGAAAGAATTGGAAATTATTTTCTATGCGCTGGAAAAGAGCAGCACCCCAAGACAGAATTTACAGCAGTGGGTCAGACATTAGAGGTTCACCCACACCTTCCCCGCCTTCCTGAACATGCTGCTGCCCCAACCGATTCCAGCGCAAAAATTTTGCAATAAAAGTAGCAGCCAATGAGGCGGAAAAAAAAAGAAGAAAAACCAGAAAAAGAAGCAGGACAAAGCATAACAAAAAATCTTCTTTTATGAGCTAATAAAATGCGTCTAAGCAGAGGGGAGGAGGGGGAGCTGGCGACTGGGACTGAGACTGAGACTGGAGGCTAAAGAAAAGCATCCAAAATTAATTAACAAAATATGTTGCAGGCCAGGCAGTGGCAGGCAAATGGGGAAAAAAAGATGAAAATGAAATATCTCTTGCACACACACACACAAAAATCTTAGCTTGTGGAAAGAGTAAATGGGGCAGATGGGGGAGGGGGCAGGGAGAGTGAATGATGTGTGTGCCATGGCAAATTAATTGTTGTCGCCAAATGCTGCCCCACAGCATTCATTAATAGGCATTCCCCACTTTCCCCGTCTCTCATTATTTTGTAGCTGGAAAAAAAAGAAACCGAAACTGAAACCGAAACCGAAACAACGCAAGCCTTGACTTGATAATCATTTTGTGTGTACTCGTATCTACCTTTCACAATTCAATTCAATTCCATAATTCTAGTCAAACATTCAACAATTGTTTAAGTAAAAATTCGGTCCGTTTATCCGCTTATTGTGTGCCCCAAAAGGAGTAGCCAAAAGTTTATTAAATTCTTGTATTTTCCCTATGTTATTAAAACAAAAAAAAACAAAAAAGTCTTCGCTGCGAAGTGAGTGGTTCCGAAGGGAAATACATAAACGAACTTGATTGAAAGTGCGCAAGAATAAAGAATAAATTAATCTACCAATCTCTCTCTCTCTCTCTCTCTCTCTCTCCCTTTCTGTGTGGCAGGCTTTCTTGGCAGTTTTCTATCAAAGGGCCTGAAGACCAATCAATTGGTTGTGAATACGGATGAGAAAACCCTGCGACCCGTTGCACGACTGAAGGAACCGCGCGATCTTTTCGCCCTGCCGAAGGACAAGGACAATGACTGCTCACAGCAGGCCCCCAGATGGCCCGTCGAGTGTCAGGTGAGTGTGTGGCTCGCCAGTGCCGGCCAAAAGTGCAACAGGAGTTAAGACTCCACCCATTGACGGACGCTATGTATAGCGCAAATATTTAGCCATCTATGCAACCATCCAAACACATTAAATTCAATATCGAACGAAGGACAAGCGCCGCTCTAGGGGAGGTTGGGTTATGTGGGTTATATTCAATGCCTTTGACACGCACCTTGTCGGCCAGGATATCCCGGGGACATGCGTGCCACGCCTCATAAATATTAATGCACATAAAACGAGCCAGAGCGAGAGAATCTTTTAGGAGTCGAGGTGCCGAGGATGTGGTACGGGGCACGGGGTGCGACCTCGCGGAAGTTTTAAAAAGCAGCGCGCGCGCCCACAAAAAGGCAGCAACTAATTCGCCTCCCATTCTCACATCCGCCCAACCATCCATCCATCCATCTCTCTCTCTCTCTCTCTCTCTCTCTCTGCTACGAATGCATACACATGTAGGTCAAATTGCAATAAAAACAAAAAACTAAAATAAAATAAAAGGTGCACACTCCCCCCTCCCCCATCCGACCCATCGGCGTTTACACCTCGTTAACCCACCGGTTAACCCCCATGGCATGCGGCACAAATTTGTGAGCCAAAAAAAAACTAAAGAAAAAACTAAAGAAAAAACTAAAGAAAAATGCAATGAAAAATCCTTTCATTTCCGCTTGTTTTCAGATTTGTGTTCTTGTTCTTGTTGTTTTTGGTTTTTTGCCTAATTGATGGGCCAAATCGTTAGCCATGTTAACAATTGATTTGATTTGTTGAACGGATTCGTACATTCGATGCTGATTCTTCTGCTGCTGATCTGCTGATTCTGCTGCCAAATTGTGTTTAAGGCAAATATTACACATCCGCCCTGTCCGCAGCGCAGCTACATAGCAACGGGGAATGATCTATGGGCTATATGGGCTATATGGGGGAGGGGGGATAAGCCAAAAAAATTGGCTAACACTGACTGCTAGAGCGGGGTGACTGCTAAGTGGTAATAGAGAGAGAGAGAGAGGGGCTGGGGGGGCAGTCTATCAAAGTGGAGGTCAATTGTTGGGCAATTTGTTTGTGGCGCAGTTTGACTGAATCAAAGGAACAACAAAAAAGCGCCTGTCAATTATCTTGTTTTCAATTAACAAAAGTGCCAACAAAAACAAAAATTCACAAAAAAAAAAACTCAACAAAAAATCCATCAATGAAATGCAAAAGAAAAAAAAGATAGAATTATTTTAATTTTAATAGTCATTAATCAGCACTCCCACTACATATCGATATCGAATATTTTGCACAGAGTTGGTAGCCTTTAACCCTGACCTGCCCCTTCCAGCTCTCTTCTCTGCAGGAAGCTCTAGGCACGCTCACACACACACACACACACACACGCTCCGCTTTGTCTTGTAAAGTTTCACAAACTGTAAATGCAATTAAGGACAAAAATAATAATAGGGAACACAAACGGCAGCGAAAAGTTGGGCAAATCGTTTTTTCTTTTCTCTTCTGTGTTTGGTATGAATACCCTTTGAAAATAAGGGCTATAAGGATTTCTAGCAGACGTTTGAAACTAACTGCAGATAGAAGCATAAACAAGCATAAAAACATAATATTGGTGGGAGATACGCCAATGCTCGGTATCCGATACTCGGTACCACCAGTAAACACGATTATTTAAACTGCTTGCACTGCTTCATGACACTTCAAATCAGCTGTGTTTGTGTGTGTTGTTTTTTTTGTTTTTTTTTTTGTTTTTTGCCTGAATCGAATAATTAATAATCCGAGATCTGCAAGAGTATCAAATTGGCTTCCTTATGGCTCAGCTCTCTTCCTTTCGCTCGGATTCTTCTGCTGTCTCTTATGCTTCCCCCCTTTCCTTACCCTCATTAACGGCGAAACGACGGCCATGACGTGCAATTTTGCAAACGCAAATAAAAAGTGAAATTTCAAAAACGCCTTCAGTGTTGATTTGACTTTTTATTTGTTGTACTTGTACTTGTTGTTGGTGTTTTTTGTTTGTTTGTTGTTACTGCACTGACACTGGCATTGGCAATGGACGAACAGACAGTGGGACGACGGCACAGAAAGGCATTCAAAGTTTTCATTACCAGTGGGAGAAACAGAAACAGTAAGAGAGACAGAGAGAGAGAGTGAGAGAGAGCAGTGAGTCGCGGGGGAAGTCTGACAGCGAGACGAGAGAAATAAACAAGCTAATTAGTTAGTTAGTTTGATAACACACACACACACACACACACACATGCACTGCACACAAAAGAAATAAGCTCAAATAAATACAGCAAAAATATAAAAAGAGCCGAGAGGCAGACAGGCAGAGAGAGAGAGAGCGCGGGAGAGTAAAGGATGATTTACAGCAACCTTTGGCACACGTCACACAGCGCAGCGCGCGGGCGGATTGCTTTTGCTTTACGTTTTGTTCTCGTCTCGGGAAAGAGCTGCGCTGCCGCTGCCGCTGCAAACTGACGGCTGATATGTTTCAATTAAGCCAGAGCGCGCACACACACACGCGCACAGAAAACGAAACACGGCAGACAGACAGAAAGACAGTCAGATTTGCATTTTAAGCCTCTCTGCTGCCGCCTCACACAGTGGAACGAAACGTTTTAAGTATGTAGGCAATATTAAAGTTCCATTAGCAGCAGCAGCAGCAGCAGCAGAATTACATTAATCTGTCCGCCATTGTGCTGCCGCTGTTATGGGATTGTGACATTTACATTTGCCCCTTGACAGCAGCATGTGACTGGCAAAAGAACAGCTGATGCAGCAGCCAATGGCTGTGTCCCCCTCTATACTGTAATAGTAGATAATATTCCACCCAAAAATCGTATCTATGTACATACAAAATCCAAACCCCCTTAACAGTCACCCCACCCCTCCATTCGCTTATGGGCAATTTGTGCAGCATTTGTTTGTTTGTAGTCCACAGTAGTTGGAGCTAGGGTATCCAAGGCGTCGGCACACGCCGCTCCATGTTTGCTATGCTTGTTTTAAAGCTCCCTCGAGATCTCGCCGCTGTGGCTCACAGTGGCCCACTGTGCACATCCATCCCGCCCGTCTTCTGCATGTACGTAAGCGCCACTACATCCAGGGCTAAGCAAATAAGCTGCTCCAGCTTTTGGGCACAATAAAAGCACAGCAAATGACGTGAAAGCCAAAGCTGTGTGGGCTAGACGGGGGCGGGGGCGGGGGGGCAGAACAGACAAATGAATGTGTGGGACAGAAACGAAATGGCCCAGTGGGGGGGGCGTACCGGGGAATTCCCATCGGTTGCCCTGCGTATGACTGGCATTTAGTTAAAATTCCTTATTAAGATGGACACTGCGAGCGATGAGAATTTTTTCGGCCTGTCGCCAGATTTTGAGGCATGGCAGGCACTTGAATGCCACTGAGCAATCACAGCCGGAGGAAAGTAGCTAAAGGAAATGACTACGCCGGTGCCGTTCGCTTATGGAAGCTACACCCATAGAAAAGCACTCAAATTGATTTATAATTTATATATAAATTTATGCCCATAGATTCTCTCTGACAGTTGAAATTCCATTTAATTTAAAAAGCGAATATTTAATTAAATTAAGGCGTGGATGCATCCCTTACTTTGTCCCCCATTTGTTGTATATCTTTTGTATATGTATATGTGTATGTATATATTTGTGTTCCCTTTTTGTGATGTGCAGGTCATCGAGGAGCGCATCACACACATTCCCTATGTGCCGGCCCAGCCGGAGCCGCTCAATGCACCGACGGGCAACGAGCTGAAGCCACGGCCCGTGGGCGAGGAGAACGGCATTGTTGTGTTCAGCTACAGTCCGATTAGTGCCGTCAATTATGTAAGTATTCCCCATTGGAAATATTCCCCACACACACACACGCACTCTGCACTAACCGGCACTTATCGGGGGAAAGGGAGAGGGACGGGACACACACAAGTTTCACATATTTCTTTTTGATTTGATTAAACCAAATAAAACAAAACAAAAACCACAGGCAAAGCCGAGGGCCAAGAAGGAGGATGAGTCCAGCGATGAATCGGACTACTCATCGGACTCGAGGAACGATTCAACGCCGCCCAGTCGAACGACGCCCGTGCGCCAGCCGGGGGCTGGCAGTCGCGGCGGCAAGCTGAACAGCGTCTCCAAGATGATCAACAGCCTGGACAATCGCTCGACCAGCGCCTCCCTGGACGATGACAATGACAATGACAATGATTTCGATGACGACCCCTATGACTATGACACGAGTGGCGCTGGCGCTGGCGGCGGCGGCGGCAGTGGCGAGGCCCGGGAAAAGGCCATCATCAAGGATCTCATTGAGGAGAAGAAGCGCCGCTACATGAGCGCTGCGGCCGGAGCAGAGGAGAAGCAACAGCAGCAGCAGCAGCCCACTGGCCACAACAGCCAGACGGCCAGCAGATCGGAGAGCAAGCCCAAGAGCAGCAACAGCAACAGCAACAAGCAGGGCAACGCCATCAGCGATGGCATCGATGACATCTGGAAGAACAACACCAGCGAGTACAAGCCCGCCTCGCCGCGCTACATCCTCAGCCAGTTCGGGAAGAATGTGACCAGGGCCGTGATCGATCGTCTGGTGGATCATGGCGATGAGAAGCAGCCGACGGGCGGCACGGGCACGGCCAGCGGCAGTCAAAAGGTAGCGTCGTCGAGCAAGTATGCCATATCCCCGATCAAGTTGCCCAAAAAGAATATCGCTCGGCTGGAGATCGCCTTTGAGCGCAGTGTTCGTCCCGTTTCACCGGCCTCGGCCATAGTCACGAATCCAGAGCTCATTCATAGCAATTTGCTGAGCGATCTGTTGGTGCCCCTCAGCAGCACCGATGCCAGCACCAATTCGAGTCCCGTCAGCTCCGATTCCGATACGGAATCCGACACCACCGAATCAGCCGAATCAGCCTCATTCCATTCGTGTCGACTGGCCGGCGGTGCAGACAACATGCCGCTGGCGCTGGCGCTGCCTCCGCCTCCGCCTCTGCCTCAGCCCTGTGCGGGCTCCGGCAATGTATCCGAAACGGAAACTTTGGTGGGGGAGGAGAGCAAAAGCCAGAGCAAAATCAAGCCAGCACGTAAGCAAAGCAGCGGCGCCCAGGCAGGCGATTGAGGTCAGATCTGGCGGGACTTTGGCCCTAGATCTAGCTTCAATCCGGTGGCAAGAGCACACAAAATCAAAGATTATGGAACACATATTGTCAGCCCCCCCCCCCATTCGTTCACTCTGCCTTTGTGTGCCATAATCGTTGACATTTGTTTAGCTCAATATTTAAGTAGTTGATTTGATCGTAGCTCCTGCCCACAGCTGGGGGGCAACAGCGCAAGATAAAGCAGTCCAGAGGGAGGCATTCCATGCGAGGCGGCAGCACTGTGCCATATACACATGCGGCAACCCTTGCGGCGGCTGCAGCTGCCAACAGGGCGGCACGCCATGGCGACACAGAGCCAAACAATTCCATGGATAGCCTCATGGGTGAATGTGGGACTGGGACTGGAACTGGAACTGGTAGTGGGACTGGGACTGGGACTGGGCCGGGGCCGGGCACTAGCACTGGCACTGGCACTGGCACAACCACGAGCAGCCTCAATGCTTATCCATCGTACCAGAGTCAAGAATCATCGACTAATCAGGAGACGAACACCTCGTCTCAATCGCTGTTATGCTCTTCTAATCCATTGCCGCAAGCACAGTTCAGCCGTTCGGCGGTGGGCGGTGCCAAATTCGTCACAAACTGCCATCCCATGAATGCCGAGGAGTACGACGGGCTGGAGTTTGAGTCGCGCTTCGAGAGCGGCAACCTGGCCAAAGCGGTACAGATCACGCCCACCTATTACGAGCTGTATCTGCGTCCCGATCTCTACACGAGCCGCTCCAAGCAGTGGTTCTACTTTCGTGTGCGGCGCACACGCCGCAAGATGCTCTATCGCTTCTCGATTGTGAATCTTGTGAAGTCCGACAGCCTCTACAACGATGGCATGCAGCCGGTCATGTACTCCACGCTGGGGGCCAAGGAGAGGAGCGAGGGCTGGCGGCGTTGCGGCGATAATATCTGTTATTATCGCAATGATGATGAGTAAGTACAGAACCGTAGCGAAGCAGTAGTCCCGGCAGCTCGTTTATTGTTTGTTTGTTCGTTCTCCATCTCATCCCCAAGAAGAAGTACCAGCAATAATGGCAATGAGGAGGATGAGGACAACTCCACATACACGCTCACATTCACCATTGAGTTTGAGCACGATGAGGATACGGTTTACTTTGCCCACAGCTATCCGTACACATACAGCGATCTGCAGGACTATCTCATGGAGATCCAGCGCCATCCGGTCAAGTCAAAGTTCTGCAAATTGCGTCTACTCTGCCGCACGCTGGCCGGCAACAATGTCTACTATCTGACGGTGACGGCGCCATCCAGCAACGAAGAAAATATGCGGGTAAGTAGTAGCTAACTAAATAATCTTCTCGATTCTCAATATTCGACACAATTTTTCGTGTGGCCTGGGGGCCTGGGCGCAGCGTAAAAAATCAATTGTCGTTTCGGCACGCGTCCATCCAAGTGAAACGCCTGCATCGTGGATGATGAAGGGACTGATGGACTTCATCACTGGCGACACAACAGTGGCCAAGCGGCTGCGCCACAAGTTCATCTTCAAGCTGGTGCCAATGCTGAATCCGGACGGTGTGATTGTGGGCAATACGCGCAACTCGCTCACCGGCAAGGACTTGAATCGTCAGTATCGCACGGTTATCCGTGAGACATATCCATCCATTTGGTATACAAAAGCCATGATTAGAAGGTGAGTCCGAGTCCCAGTCCCAGTCCCCATTTAAATTTATTCCCTAATGTATTCCACTCTACTCAAGACTGATTGAAGAGTGCGGCGTGGCCATGTACTGTGATATGCACGCGCACTCACGCAAACACAACATATTTATTTATGGCTGTGAGAACAAGCGGAATCCGGAGAAGAAGCTCACCGAGCAGGTATTCCCCCTGATGCTACACAAGAACAGTGCGGATCGGGTGAGTGCTGCACAGATGATACGAGAGGGACATTCGATATATTCGATGTACATATATGTTGTAGTTCTCCTTTGAGAGCTGCAAGTTCAAGATACAACGCAGCAAGGAGGGCACTGGTCGCATTGTCGTCTGGATGCTGGGCATCACCAATAGCTATACGATTGAGGCATCCTTTGGTGGCTCCTCGCTGGGGTCGCGCAAGGGCACGCACTTCAATACGCAGGTAAGTGCCATCCAGCAGGATATGATGGGAATCTAAAGCGGTGCGGAGCGGTGGGCAACACATGGATGCTCGAGACGCACAAGCGAAGTCGGCTAAAAGAGAACGCTCGAGAAAAGAACATACATGTCGTGTATTGATGCTTCCCTGCCCACCGATCTCCATCAGTTAGTTGATTGCTATGCGCCTGATATTACTTCTTCTTTCTTCTTTCTTGTTTTGTTTCTTTCTTTGGTTTCTTTTGCGCAGGACTATGAACACATGGGACGAGCATTTTGTGAGACACTGTTGGACTATTGCGATGAGAATCCAAACAAAGTAAAGCGCCATGCAAAGTTATTTAAGCAAATCAAAAAGATAAGAAAACGCGAGAAACGCGAACAGAAAGCATTGAAATTACAGAAAATGGCCGATCAGGGATGTATAATGAACGATAAGCTGAAAGTGAAACGTTCTGTGGAGAAAAGTGTCTCCTAGGAAACGATTCTCTCCGGAAACTCTTTCTCAAAACACACACACACACACACACACACAGACACACCACAAAATACACACACACACACACACATAGTAGACGGAGATACACGATCGTAGTAGTGTGCCGCTCTCAAAATGTATTTGTACTGTTATCGTTATCGTTATCGTCATCGTCATCGTAATTGTTATCGCCCTGTTTGTGTGTTTGCCTGATAATCGTAATCGTTATCGTAATCGTATTGCTATCGCGTGCTGTGCTGTGCTGACAAATCAAATATATATCCCCCCCCACCAACACCACCCACACCAACAATATATAGTACATATACATATATACATAAACCCATATACTAAATACTCGTACACACGATGAGAAAATTGCGAAGAGAAAAGGGAAAAAAGTGTCGCATTAAGAGCGTCCCACACATCGGCCAGAGCCAAAGATCTATATATACATACATATATATATATATATAGATATATATTCGGCATTGAATTGAATTAATTTGAATGCTGTCTATTTGCGCGTATCGTAGTTTTTCTAATGTTTTTGGATTCCCAATTGCGTGCATAGGCCAACCCGCCCGCCCTCGCCCTCGCCCACGCCACCACCCGAGAGGATCCTATGCACGCAATGGGAAGATATACATATATCTTACCACACCCACACACAGACACATCCACTCAATATCACACACGTAAATATCGCAATATAGCTGCGATATATACATATATATATATATATATATAGTATTTGATGTACACACAGCACAGCCAAACTCTGCAGCCAGGCGCACTGCTCCTCGGAGAGAACTCTATTTCTAATCTATTTTCTATTACATATTAGAATTATTTGATAACTTGTTTGTTTTTTTTTTTATTTTTTACCTTACATTACTTTTACGTTTACTTTAAATGTTTTTAGTTGTAAGTAAAAATGGAAACATAAACTGCGTATTATTATAGCCGGAGAAAATATTATTTTTTTGAAATAAATACCATCTTATACAGTCGATTTTTGTATCCACATTTTGATGTATTGTAGTTTAGCTTTGTTGTTGTTGTTGTTGTTGCTTTATCTGCTTTGTATTTTCCACAACACACATTGGCTTTAATTATTTTTTGTTTTTATTTTTATTTTTATTTTTATTTTAATTATTAATTATTTAATTATTTTTTATTTACTTTCCGCCTGGGTTTGATTTCTAACTAATCCAAATGCATTAACATTTACAATAGATTTTAAATTTACTCAAACAACAGGACAGGCTGCGATCCAAAATCATCGAAAGACTGATGAGAGAAGGCTCCAGTGCCGACGAGCCACTGAATATACCATTATCGGATTACTCAAGGTACGGTGCAGCACGCCATTCACCCCACCCCTACCACCTCAGGGTTTAAGTTTTAAGGGAGGTTAAAATATGGCAAAAGCCACAGCTGATTTTTCAGTTTAATTTAATCTAATTAAATCTTTAATCCATGAGACATTTTACCTCTCCAAAGCCAAAGCCCATTACTAACCCTTAACATTGTTTTCTCTTTTTTTTTGTTGTATAACCCCCTAAACCCCGCATGAACAACCAAACAAACAACCAAACAAACAGCGACGAGGGCAACTGCAGCTCCAGCTCGGACAACGAGGGCAAGCACTCGATCACGGCCTCCGATCTGGAGGGACCCTGCTGTGCGCCCACACGTGCCCCGCCCAGTTCGCCGGAGGTCATACACGAGATACGAAAGGTAGGTGGTGTCGCCGCTTCAAACTACAGCACCGTAATGCACCTTGCCACCTGCCACCTGCCACCTTGCCACCTGCCCCATGCTCCCTGTAGTTCCGAGTGCGTCGCATGCGCAAGGTGATGCACGAACTGGATCGCATTTACTTTACGCCGCTGTTCCAGCGCAAGTTCAAGGCCCTCAACACACTGAAGCGACGGCGCCACAAGCTGGGCGCCACCAAGACACCGTCGCCGGTGGTCAAGCGGCTGAAAAGCGGCGCTGGTGACACCGCCGCAGCCGCCACATCGCTGGCCGAGCCGTTTATGCGCCGGCAGGCGAAGAAGCCAGCAGCCAGCAAGCAGGCAATCGAAAAGGAAAGCTCCGACGACAGCATTGGCTCGAGCTCCCAATCGCAGGAGAACGAGCCGGCAGCGGCCACGGAGACGACGACAAGGACAAGGAAAGCGAAGACAGCGGCGCGCAGGACACGCAGCACGGCCGCCGCGAGCGGCCCCCAGGCTGGGGGATCGGCTGGGGGATCGGCAGGCAAACAGAAGGCAGGCAAGAAGAAGAAGTATATGCAAACGGAGAAGAAGAAGCCGCCGGCGAACCACAAGCTGCATGTGGATCGCAATTTTCGCCTGTGGCTGGCCAATCGCAAGATCTTCATATGTCGCCGCAAAAAGGTAGAGTCCCCCCACACCCACCCCCCCACTGCACTGCACTGCACTCCACCCTACCCCTCTTCCATTGGTAATCCTCATTAGTCGTTGCAGACGCGTCGCACTCGTGTGCGCAACAAGGCGCCCAAGAAGCGCGGCGAGGTGGTGCGCACCACACTGGATCTGCCCACCACCGATCCCGGCTCCGATCTGCACTTCTCCACCGACGACGAGGAGCACTCGCCGACGACAGGGCCGAGCGGCTACGGTGCCGTGGCCCCGCTGCGGCACACCCTGCTCCAGAGCGAGCTGCAGCGGCGCTACATTGAGGAAATCGGCGACACGGTGGTGCAGAAGCCAAAGCCCGCCCATATGCCGCCGGAGCTGATTGTGACAACGCCCTCGAAGAGCAACACACCGGGCGGCGGCAAGAAGCTTGACTTTTACAAGCTGACGCCACGCACAGCGCCCGAACTGGCCATGGGCATGGGCATGGGCATGGGCATGTACAAGCAGCAGCAGGTGGTGAGCGTTGGGACAACATCAACGTCTGCCAGGCGCACCTACTCGTGGCACAATCTCGACCAGGAGGCGGCCATCTCCGCCACCAACAGCAGCATCAGCAAGCAGGCAGCCAATTTCTATATGAACGAGTCCAAGGCAGCGATGAAGATCAAGCCACCGCCGCCACGAAGGTAAGCGCCACCGAATCGCTCCTGCTGGGCTGGTCTTGCATTGATTCTGATTGCCACTTGGTGCACAGGAACTTTATACCCCAGCGAAATGTGACGAGCACCTCCTCGGCGGATGATCTGCAGCTGAAGCTGTCGCTCAAGAAGAAGATCTGGACGGGTGCCCATGGGGAGCCCGATGGACGACCGCTGTCCTGGTTTAAGGGTCACATGAACCAGGCTCAGGCACAGGCACAGGCTCAGGCACAGGCACAGTCCAATGCCATGGCCGCTGGAGGGGGAGGAGCAAGCCGCACCGTGTTCACTGCTGCCAGTGGCAGAGAAGCGGGTGGAGCAGCAGCAGCAGCAGCGCCGCCCACCATAATGGGAGCGCCGCGCAAGCCCAGGAAACTCGAGCAGGTGGATCTGTTCAAGTAAGTTGGCCCTGGTCCTGGCACCGAGTCTCAAATCCTTAATGTCAATTCTCTTTTGTAGCGCCTGCTCCCAGAAGCTCATCATGTGGCAGCAGCAGGAGGAGCACAAGAAAGTGCAGCCGCAGCGTCTCGTGCGCGTCGAGGATCAACAGCGCGAGATGATGCGCTCCTTCAAGCCCATGCAGCTGGGCAAGAAGCAATCGTTGGTGGGCAAGACCATGTCCGGGCTGGGGCCCGATGCCAGCAGTGCTGGCATGAAGGTTAAGCGCAAGTCGAGCAGCATGATGAAGATCGCCGAGACCACACAGCTGGTCACACGCTTTGCCCGCACACGCGGCAGTTCAGGCAGCTCCGCACTGCAGCAGCATCCACACCAGATGCAGCAGCAGCAGCAGCACCAGCAGCACCAGCAGCATCCGTCTCAGGGCCAGCGTATGATGTACAAGAATCAATCGCTGGCCAGTTCGGGCAGCGGACGCCATTACTCCGCTGGCATGATCAATCCACAGCATGCACATGCACATCGCGGTCCCAGCAAGTTCAAGACGGGCGGACTGGTGGTCACTGCCGTCCAGCAGCCAGGCATGGCGCCCGGCAGCAGCAGCAGCTCACGCCGGATGCGCAATGCAGCCGGACTGCCGCCGAGGGCCAGCCAGGGGGGACACACGGGATTCGGAGCAGCTGCAACAGGCAGCAGCAGGTAGCGGTGGCGGTGGCGGTGGCAACGGCAACGGTTTGCTGCAGTATCAGCGGAACACCAACGTACAGATGAACAAATCCTCGACGACGGGCATCAGCCTGGACACGGTCAATCTGGTGCGCAAGGTGAAGACCAAGCTGAAGAAGCGCAAGTCCCGCGCTCTGTCCAATGGACCTGCCAAGTAGGATACACCACACACCACACCCCACCACACCCCAGCCCCCCTGTGCCTTCCATTCCCACTTCCCACTTGCCCCAGAAACCAGCTACAGCTGCTGCTACTCCAATATTCTTCCATCCACAAGGCGGAGGAGGAGGCTATTCAATTGTGTTTTAGTACTGAATTTAGTTACCTTTAACCCCTAGACCCCTCCCCTCCCCTCCCCAACCCTCCCCACACCCTACCACCAGCCATGTTGTTTTGTTTTCCACTTTAAGTCGAAATTTTTAGTCGAATTTTCCACCCAAGTTTGTTATGCAAAAGTAATTAGCAAAATTAATATAGTAAATATCCTATACATGTGTACGCATGTATGCATATAGCAGACCATATACATAGATTGGTGCATGCATATATACATATATTCAATTCAATTCAAATCAAATCAAATCTGTACCTATGATTAATATCCATAAAAAATAATGTTAAAAAGTGTGTGTGCTGCTGCTATTTTTTTGTTGTTTTTTGTGTGTGCTTTGCAGGAGTTTTTCTATGGAAATTTGCAATAAAAAAAACATTTAAAAAATATCAAACGAACCAGAGGCTCTTCAGGGGGGGTTCGAGGGGTTGCTGTTGGCTCAAATAAATAATTCAGACAACTAAAAATCAATTACGCACATGTCCGGCAAACGGCGGCAGAGACAGACGTCGTACACACACCAAAAAGCAGGACAGGACCTCCTTGGCCGGACGGGCACGTGAGTGTGTGATGGGAGCGGGGGCGGGGGATAGCAGTAGTTGACTGTGAGATTGGGTAAGGTAACCTGTACATACCTGAGCACCGAACCGCAAACCGCCGCTCAAACTTGTGCACAATTCAAGCTGAAGTCGTTATATTCGTTTAACTCTGACTGAAATGTTTAAATATTGGCGAAAGTAAACAAAATGTTGCCCAATTGTGACCTCTAGTGATGGCAGCGCGAACTTTCGATAGTCATGCATGCATATGCCTGACAAAAAGCTAACCATTTTGACACTATAGCTATCGATAGAGGCTAAGCTTATTCAATTATATATTTTAGCATAAATAATTGGTAGAACAATACGCTCACTCAGAACTGAAATGATTTAAATACACAAAATGTTGGCCAGCGCAAAGTTTTGCCCTCTGGCAAAAAGCTAACAAGTATGAAACAAATTTCACAATTCTAATCGATAGAAAATATATGAATTAATTATTTAACTCCACAAAATTAGCTTGGACTGAATATTGTTTAGCGGCGAACTATTAAAAAATCATTTTGGCATATAATGGGCTCTGTATGGACTGCCCAGCTGTGAGCATCGATCGCACAGCTGTTCGAGCTTACAACACCATCCATCACATCACTAGAAACACTATCGATTTGTTATCAATTTTGGAATGTTGTGCCCTAAGGACACAATTTATTATTATTGTTTGTATTGTTGTTGTAATATACCCAAGCCGTTATGCTAAATTAATTAAACTACATACACATGCATGCTGTACGTATGTGGGTAGGTGTAGGTGTAGGTGTAGGTGTAAGTGTAAGTGTCCCTTCTGGCTGCTGCTTCCCCACTCGTCCTGCTCGTTGCCAGCTCCTTTGCTACACGTCGCCAGAGAGTTTTGTTCGATTTAACTAAGAAATTACAACTACTACAGAAATAAATAAGAATAAGATAAACAAGTGTTAAGATATAAAACCGAAATTGAGTTTCGGTTTGGTTTGCCTCAGACATTGACAGCATTCTGCAGAGCCGTCTTATCGTCCACAATGATATTGGCCGCCGTTGTGGTTGGATTCGAGCTGAGCAATTGCTTTGTCGATGAGCTGGATGAGTAGCTATCACTGGAGCTGCGTGTGGATGCCGAATTGCCGCTAATCGGACTATCCAGCATATCTGTTGAAGGGGAGAGGAGAGCCATTAAAGGGGATGCCCTTATGTGAGAGAGCAGCAAATCCTACCTGGCAGGGAGCTAACATTGTTGGACTTCAAGTCAACAACTGTGCCCGAACCGGAGCCCACCATGTTGCCCACCGATGTGGATTTCTTGTGTAGATTCTTCTTCATGGCACTGCTAAAGCCCACCACCACACTGGTTGGGGTGCCGCCTCCGCCGACGCCGCCACGAATGCCGACACTTGCACTGCCACCGCCTGCGGATACTCCGCACAGCGGATCACCGCTCTTGGCCCGCTCTCGCTCGCGCTCCCTCTCCGTGGGACAGAGCGGACTTAGTATCGAGTTCTGCGTATCCTCGGGCGTATAGTAGTCCGAATCATCGGCCGCTGGCTCACCGCAGCTACCAGCTGCAGCACCGCTTCCACCGCTGCTGCTCGTTAGCTCCGGCCTGGGCTTGGCTCGCTTCAGCGAGGCGCCGCTTTTCTTGCTGCCAGTCTCATCGCTGGCCACTCCGCTATCACCGCCTGCTCCCGAGTTGCTGCCATTGCCACTGCCACTGCCACTGCCGCCGCCCGTCTTGTCCGCATCATCCGCCTCCAGGCAGGCCACAACCTGTTTGAGTGACTTGTTCGAGAGATTGCGGCTCTTGCTGCCCGGCGACAGCAACGGCGACAGTTTCTCGTTCTCGCTGTCCACATCGTCATCGGTGCCGGCCGAGGCATCGCCACCCGAGCCAGTACCTGTACCTGCCCCTCCCCTGGTGGTTGGGTACTTTCGCTCGTTCACAATCTGCAGCTTGTCCTGCTTCGCCTCCTCCACCGCAGTCTTGCCGGTGGGTGAGGTGATGGCAGCGGCCGTTGCCGTTGCTGTAGCCGTCGCCGTCGCCGTCGTCTTTTTGGGATCGCTTTCGATCTCCACCACGGACAGGTTGCCGCCCGTTTGGGGTGTGGTGATGGTGCCCACCTCGCTGGTCGATGTGCACGTCGAGGCATTCTTCTTGATCTTGGAGCGACGCGTGCTGTTGGACTTGACGGGCGAGGTGGCCTTGATGTCGCTGCTGGTCATCGTGGAGGCGGCCACAGTGGCCGCCGTGTCCGTAATATCATGTTCGCTTGTTCTGCAAGCCAAAAAGGAGGGAGGGAGGGGATTAAACGTCGCTTCATGTCACTGACTGACTGACTGACTGGCTGACTGGCTGAATTGCTCACCTGGCCCTGGCCACATATTGGGGTGGCCCATTGAGTGCCTCGATGAGCGAGACGGGCACATATCCCGGCGGCACATCGACGGGTGCCGCGTCCCCGCCCGCCGATGTTGGTGTATTCTGATGCAGCACATGCGTACTGATGCCCTTCTGGACGGCCCGTATCTGGAGCAGGGCCCGGAACGGTGCCCGACAGATGGGACAATTGTTGGCCTGGTAGCGCAGCGAATCGGCGCACGAATTGCACAAGCAGAGATGCCGACAGGGCAGTATGAGGGTGTCGCGCGTCTCGCTCATGCAGATGACACACTCGCTGCCATGATCGTCGATATCCTCGTCAATGGAGGACTTGTTCACCGCCTTGTTCTCAATGCCGTAGATCTCCTGCAGCAGGTAGCACAGGCCATCGACAAAGATCTTCTGCTTGAGGGCGCGCAGCACATAGCTGTTCGTCTCCGGGTGATGGTCGATCACACAGATGGTCGTGTGCGACTGTCGGCACTCGTCGTTGCCCTCCTCCACCACACAGTGTATGGCCACGGGATACTGCTCACGGCCCGAGCTGTATATGAACTCATCCTCGGGTATCACCTGGGGATTGAACACATGCCCCGGCTGCGAGAAGCTCTGGTTGATGCCCTTGTCAAAGTGATACGTCTCCGAGGCGAGGCCCTCGCGTGCCACCAGGGTCACGCCGCTGGGACTGACCTCCTCGCTGGCAAAATAGTACACGGTGATCGCACACTTGGCATCCGAATCGAAGGTGAACTCAATGTTGTAGCAGCAGGGCGGCGGCGGGGCCACCGAGTCCGAGCTGCCACCGCCCAGGCCCATCGAGCAGAGGACATTGCCATCGACATCCTCGATGGTTACGTTCGTCTTGTCGATATCGTCCAGGATCTCCATGGGCTTGGGCTTGGGCTTCTCCTTTATGGGACTGGCGGCGCCATCCACACAGTCCGGTTTCTTGTCGTTCGGCAAGCGAACGAAACGCACCGACTCCTTGCGTATGTTGACCAGACTCTTGAGGGTCTTGGTCGGCTCATTCGCCTGGGGCGGCGGATAGGGGAATGCCGTCGGGCGATTGCCCAGAAAATTCAAATCTGCATTCTCACCAAACAGATACGATTCGGGTTGGGGCGTGTCGAAGCGCTCGCCGCCCATTATGAAGTGGGTGCCAAAGAAGTTGCCCATTCGAGGCGGATATTTGTAGGCATTGTTGGGTATCTGGTCCGCTTCCTCGACCGCTGCGTTCTGCCTGCTTACAAAGTTGCCCATTTATGGGGGTGGAGGATTATAAGCTGATGTAGCTGATTAGCTAATTAACTGTAGCCCGTATAGACCAGACCGTCCGTATGTTGATTTTATTTTGTTCCCGAAACTACTTTTCTTTGCTTTCCTTTGCCTCAAGCGAATATTGCGATTTACATGGCAACAAAGTGCGATAACACAGAGCATCGATCTATCGATAGCACTATCGGGGGGGGGATGAGTGCTGTATCAGGTAGTTTTTGGAAAGGCAACCCTGCTCTTGAAGAGCAACAACAAACGGGCGCCAAAATAGCGTATGCGAAATAGAAAAGAAAACGCTGTCAATTGTTTTTTATTTTATTTTGAATATAAGAAGCGGTGAAGTGAGAGTGTGACGTGCAAGATGACCATGAGCCTGGATGAGACCATCTGTGCGTATTTTGTGAACAATCTCAAATCGAGCGACAGCAATGAGCCGGACACACTGGAGCAGTTCACGACGGCGCTGAGGCTGATGGGCGAGAAGCTGGCCGAGACGCAGATACGCCAGATCAAGCCCAGCGAGGGCTATCCCCTGATAGCGGCCGGCAATCTCACCAAAAAGGATGTCTTTGTGCTGGCCCAATTCGAGGGCGATTTCTTTCAGCAGCTGCAAATGACCAAGGCCCTGATACTGGGTCCGCCCTGCCTGGTGTCCTGCCTGCGGCACAACGATCCGGTGCCGCTGGGCAGCAGTGCCATCTACACGACGGCCATGCGTGATCTGGTGGTGTCTGCCACCGGCATAACACCGCAAAAGAAGGAGGAGCTGAGCAAGCTGATCAAATGGATGGGCGGCGTTTACTTTCAGAGTTTCGGCCACAGCACCACGCACCTCATCTCGAACACCATCAAGTCGCACAAGTACGAGCAGGCGACGCTGACGGATGTGCCCGTGATGCATGTCGACTGGGTGCAGTACGTCTGGGACCAGAGTCGCAAGCGGAAAAGGGAGAGCCTGGGGGCCACAGATGCCGAGTTTGACAAGTATCGCCTGCCCACGTTCTTTGGGGCGAACATCACGTGCAGCGGCCTCGATGTGGCGCGCAAGGACGAGGTGATGCGTCTGGTCAATGAGAATGGTGGCATCTACCATCGCGCCTTTCGCTCTCAGGTGGTGGACATTGTCATCACCGAGCAGTCCAAGACGGATACCGACAAGTACAAGGCGGCCGTACGCTACAAGAAGGATGTCCTGCTGCCCGAATGGATATTCGATAGCCACAGCCGTGGCTATGCTCTGCCCACCAAGAGGTACGAGGTGCGCGCCGGCAAGAAGGTCTCCACGCCCACCAGGAGAGCAGCAGCAGCAGCAGTCGGCCCACTGGGCCCGGGCGACCAGACGCAGCTGTCGGATCTGTCCAGGATTAGCTTTGTCTCTGGTTCGGGCCGCATGTGCAGCGACCTGACCACCGTCAACGAGACGCTCAACAGCCCATCCAAGCAGCTGCTGAAGCAGGCCAGCAGCAGCAGGAGCTACCAGCAGGTTCTGGCCGACATCTGTCCGCGTCAGGCCAAAAAGGCTGGCCCCCTGCTCGATGGCTGTTGCGTGTACCTCAGCGGCTTTCGTGCCGAGGAGCGGGAGAAGCTCAATCGCATACTGAACACGGGCGGGGCCACACGCTACGACGAGGCCAACGAGGGCATATCGCACATTATTGTCGGCCAGCTGGACGACGCCGAGTACCGGCAGTGGCAGCGCGATGGCCTCATGGCCACCGTGCATGTGGTGCGCCTGGACTGGCTGCTCGAGAGCATACGCTTTGGTCGTATCGTCAACGAGCTGGCGCATCGCGCCTCCCTGCCGCAGACGGGGGAGCCAGATGTGGCCTCGCCCGCCAGCAAGCGGACGCTGCGATCGATGAATCACAGCTTCAAGCAGCCCCAGCAGCTGCCCATCAAGAAGAAGCTGTTCAGCGCTGAACCAGAACCAGAGCCACAGTCACAGTCACAGCAGGAGCAGCCCCAGGACGTGGACGTGGATGTGGATGTGGAGCTGCTCAATCAGTATTCGCAGGACCAAGAGCCAGCAGCACAGCTGCCGCCGACAGCGACGACGGCCAGTACGGAGGTGAGCATGCTGCTGCATCCGGCGGCAAGCTCCACACAATTGGAGATACGTCCAGCCCCTGGCAGTCGCCCATCAACGACGGCTGCAGCACTGGCCCTGGCCCTGCCGGATCTCAGCGCCAGCACGTTGTCCATTGACTTTGACAAGCTGGACTACTTCACGGGCGTCTCCGTGTACGTGCACAAGGAGTCCTTCAACAAGGAGTTCTACACGCAAATGCTGAGCGAATGCGAGGCTGCCCAGGGTCACCTGGTGCCCGCCAGCTTCTCCGATGAGGTGGACTATGCCATTGTCAGTTTTGAGGTGCCCTTCGCGGCGGACAGCCTGCCCGTTAGAGCGCGCCATGTGGTCACCGAGCTGTTCCTCGAGAGCTGCATGAAAAAGAACAAACTGCTGGCCGCCGAATACTATCATCTGCCAGTGCCGTATGCGGCCAGTCGAGAGCCCCTCCAGGGCATGACCATTGTGGTGTCCATCTATGCGAACCTGGAGCGCGACTTTATCAATTCGGTGGCCACACTCCTGGGCGCCTCGGTCAACAAGACGTTCATCAAGAAGGAGAAACCGCTGCTGGTGTGCCCCACAGCCGAGGGCTCCAAGTATGAGGGGGCCATCAAGTGGCACTATCCGGTGGTGACGGCCGCCTGGCTGGTGGAGTGCGCCCAGGCGGGCGAGAAGCTGCCGTATGCCGGTCATTTGGTGGGCAAGAGCGAAGCCGATTTTCCCACAATCTCTCCGCGTCTCAAGGAGAACAATTTGCGCACACCACGGCGTCAGGAGCAGCAGCAGCAGCAGCAGCAGCAGCCAGCCATGGACGAGGATGAAAACCAGCCAGAGGTTACGCTCATTCCTGTTGCCAGCAGCGCTGCAGTCGTGCCATCAGTGCCTGTGCCTGTGCCAGAGCTAACGCCGCTGCGCAATCGTCGCGTCTCCGAGCTGGCGGGCGTGCGGCGTGGCAGCAGCAGCAGTTCGTCGTCGCCCACAGATTCGCCGCGCACCCCCACCAATCAGGTGTACAGCCAGGGCTACAATTTTGAGTTCCTGGAAGAGTTCGTCCAGCGGCTGGACACGGACGAGGGCAAGGACTGTGTGCGCCAGATCATACGCGAGATGCGGGAGAACCAAACGCCCGAGCTGGAGCGCATACGCAGGCAGGCGTGCACGCCGGTCAGCCATCAGCATCCGCGACCGGCGCCGGGCATACCCGAGTTCTGTTTGACGCCCGAATTTAAGCAGCGTATGGCCGATGATTTCGAGCGACGCTGGCGCCTGCCCACGCAAAAAATCCAGCCAGACACGCCCATATCGGTGATCAGGAAGCGGGTGATGCGCATTACCTGCGAGACGCTGGGCATTGACTATGACGGCATGGAGGAGGAGGAGCAAAAGCAGCAGCAGCAGCCGGTCAGCAGCAGCAGCAGCGGCAGCGGCAACCTTAAGAAGACTCAAAGGCTAAGCTTTGAGGGAAGATCCCCGAAGACACCCAAAGCCACAGTTAAGAGGGCGACACCTCCACGCCTCTCTGTGTCGCATCTTAGTGGCTCGCCATCGGCATCCAATTACGTGCCAAACACCCAGAGTCCTGCGGGTGTGGCAGCGGCTGAGAGCACCATTAATTTTGATAAAATCAGCTTCGAGGAGACAACAACAGGAGGAGCAGCAGCAGCTGCAGCGGCGGCAGCGGCACCGGCCGGCCCAGAGCCGCTCAGTCGCCACAACTCGCCGGACGTCAAGCAGATCACCGACTACCTAAAGCACTGCGAGAGCCGCCGGAACAGCCTGAAGCGCAGCCATGACAGCCATGTGGAGTCGGCCGAGAGCGAAATGCAGTTTGTACAGCCATTCGAGTCCGAGGGCTTTGCCTTGGCCACCGAGGACACGGTGGACTGGCGTGATCCAGGCGAATTCAATGCGGCCAAGCGGCGCTCATCGGGCTCGCCACGCATGCAGCATGCGGGCACACCCTGCTTCAGCATCTCCTGCGGCGACGACGAAGAGAAGCGCGCCGAGCTAATCGACCGCATTCAGCAGCTGGGCGGCAAACTGTGCGAGAATCTCGTCAACTATGACGAGGCCTGCACGCACTTGCTCTGCGAGCGTCCCAACCGAGGCGAGAAAATGCTGGCCTGCATTGCCGCTGGCAAGTGGATCCTCAATATCCAGTATATCGAACAGTGCCACACCCGGGGCCACTTTCTGGACGAGGCCCTGTACGAGTGGGGCAATCCGCGTGCCCTCAATCTGCCCACTCTGGCACCCGAAGAGGATGTCATTGCTGTGGCCGCACATCGCTGGCGCACCGAACTGAGTGCCTCTGGCGGTGGCGCCTACTCCGAGCATCGTGTCATACTCAGTCTCCATGAGCGCAGTGGAGCGGCCATACGGAATGTATTGCGTGCTGGCGGTGCTTGCATTTTGGAGCCGCGCTCTCCGTTTGCCCAGGATCCGGTGGCGGCCACAGCCACCGTTTGTTTTGTGGACATCAAAAAGGCACCGCTGGCGGCCAGGGATCTGGCCCATTTGCAGCACTGTGGGGTGCGCGTCTTCACCCAATTGGCCATCAACTATTATCTGATGAATGGTCGGGAGGCCAATCAAGATAAATATGTGGTCAAGTAGAACTGAAACCTGAAACCTGCAGCTGATCTACGCTTAGCTTTAAGTATCTCCTCTTTTTTTTTTATCAACATTTTCTTTACATTTAAACACCGTTTGTTATCTTTGTCTCTCTTTCAAATGGCCCTAAAAGAAAGAAGCAAAATCGTGCAAATCTGCGGAGCATTAACCCCACGAATCAATTGATTTGATCCGATCCATGTAAATGCTATGGAAATTCCCTTGAAGCTTTCGATCTTTATCCGCATAATAATTATCTTTTTCTAAATCAATTTGTTATAACCTTAAAAACACATTAAATCAATTTTAAAAACTTGAATTTATTTTTTTTTTGTGGACTGCGCTCAAAAGTGTGCTACAGTTTCTGGCATTTGTGTGTAAAGGAACCGTCTGGAGAAGGGGCGTGTGTGTGTGTGTGGCAAGAAACGTTGATTTTGTGGCCTCAGATCAGAATAATACTCAGAGTTCGAGTTGTGATAATGAAGAGGTGGATTGGATACGCTTAGAGCCAAAAAGCAACGATGCTCACGACAGAGGCGCCGATCATGTTATAATCTGTCCGGCCGGGGCTTACCGGACCATAGCCAAGACTCCCAAGGAGGGGCGTTTAGTTTGGCATCTTTTATTTGGTTTTTAGGCTATTCTTTTGTGTGTTTTTCTTGGAGATTGTGATTGTTTAATTGTGAGCGAGAAGGATTGCAACATTAAGAAGCTCTTGTGGGAGATGTGGCTCAACATCAGATCTTGCATGTCATCGTATACAATGCATTGCAACATTGCAATGTTGCCAAGACGGCTTCGGCGCAAAGTGTGAGAGAGCGGAAGAGTGAGAGAGAGAGAGAGAGAGAGAGAGGAGTATGCAAGAGGTGCAGCATGATGCGCTTTCGTCGCTCCTGGCGAATGTTGCTCAACATCAAACCGGGCATCGTATACAATGTTGCCAAGCTAAGCTTGACACCTAAATATTTTATTTGATACATAAACAAACAAAACCGAACCGAACCTCCTTAAATGGCATCCCAAACAGATAGTACACATAGATATTACACTGGAAATTTGAATAGAATGAAAGGAAAGCCAGTAGACGCTTAATGCTTGGACACGCCCACTAGGGCAGGGCGAACCACGCGATCGTTGAGTTTGTAGCCCAATTGGATGACAGCCACCACTGATTGTGGCTCCAACGAGCGGTCTGTCTGCTCGTACAGTGCCACATGGATTTCCGGATTAAACTTTTCGTAGATGGGCGGCTCCATGGCTTTCAAGCCATACTGTTTGAAAACCCGATGCAATATTTTGTGTGTCCGCTTTAGATTTTCGTACAGATAAAACAAGTCGTCGCAGTGCAGCCGCTTTTGTAGATTCATTGATTAAATAGAAATAAATATGTATATGCATATGTATATATATTGTTAGGGCTTATGTACATACCTTCTCCACGGGTACTGACTCTAGGATATGTTCAAGCACATCGGATATGTCCAGCAGATCCCGGCAAAACAGCTGGATGCTCAAATTCTTGGCATCATTTAATTTCTTGTTGAGACGCCTCTCGATCTGCACACTGTCGGACAGCACACGCTTAACAAAGTCCGCCATGAAGACATTATGCTGACAGATCACCGCCCGTTCCTTGGCCAGACTCTCCAGCTGCTCGGCGTGGGAGCGTACCTTCTTCTCCTTCTTCTTCTTCTTGGCAGCAAAGGGGCGCCACCAGATGCATGCACGGGCATGGACAATCAGTGGCCTAAGTTTTGGAATGTGAAAAATGAGAAAATAACTTTAAAAAAAACATTACCTTTTGATGGTTGCTGTTGAACCAAAGAATGGTAGTTTCGCAGCGAGCATTAATTTCAACATTATATCGGTATACCTCAAAAATACAATTGCGAATTGTTTTGTTGAGTTAAAAGGAGCAACAGGAAATGTTATTTAAGTCACTTTCGACATGACTTTAAACGTCAAACGTCACTCAGTTTTATCTATAAAATATCCAATTAGTATTGATGAACATCAATCAGGGTTTGGCTTACGCACAGTCCACTGTCCTGTCTTCTGGATATACTGCTAGCTGGTCAATTGTCTTTGACTACCATTCGATTTAATGCGATTCGAGGTATTTTCTTCTCAGTCAATGGTATTTTTTAATGGACTTGAAACTGATGTAAGGCTTTGGAGAATATCCTAATTAATTATGTTTTGGATGTAGCTCGTTCCTACCCTAAATATCCATTATTTTAAAGCACATTTAATCACATTTTGGAGAAGTGCCGGACACGGCAAGAGAGGACGAGTAGTAGTATTTGGAAATTTGTCTGTTCATTGCTCACAAATATTTACCCAATATTTTGAATAATCTTGGGATAAGATCAGACTAAAAGATCTAAAAATTATAATTTAAAATAATGGGTGGGTAGCACTTTATGTTACTCTGCGCCTCTACGTAGATGGCCTTGGAATTGCAGAATCCTATCGTTCAATGTTCTTTAAGATTGATTCTTTGTAGGCTACAAAATTTCCGCATTCTGAATTAATGAATTAATATGGGCATAAAACAAAGCCTAGCTTTCTGAATATCAAATTTAATTGTACTTTCCATTTATTTAACGTTTATATATAGATTTATTTATTTATTTATGTTTGTGTACGTGTGTGTGTGTGTGTGTAGCATGTATGTATAATTTCACTTAGCTTCGTTCTGTTCCAATTTAATTGTTATATTTTTTAATAGCATTTATGTACTTCTAAATTTGATTCTTATGATTTTTATATATGTATATGTAAGGTATGTATATACGTTTCATTATATACTTTTTGTTTATACAATCCATTCAAGTTTTGTCTTTATTTGTTCTTGTTCTTGTTCTGTGTTCTGTGTGTTCTCTTTGTGTTTTGTTAAAAAAAAGTCTCTCTTTTTTATATCTACATATATAAATTTGTATGGTTTTTTTTGTTGTTGTTGTTGTTCTTGGGGTGTGGAATCGCATGCTCTAGGCTACAAATTCATCAAAAATAGATAGTACACGTAGTATATATAGTTGATCGGTTTTCTCTCAGTTTTCTAATTGTTTCGTTTCGTTTTGTTATGTTTTTAAGCCGCTAATTGGCAGACTGGCGGCTCTTTCTTTTGTTTTTTAAAATTACATTTCTATATACTCGAATTGTTTTTTTTTTTTATATATATTTATGTTTCATTTCATATATGTCTATGGTTTTTTGTAGCTATATAAATTTTTTAATGTTTTGTTCAAGGTTTTTGTTTTTATATCGCAGCGATAATTTGTTTAGTTTTGTGTTAGGAGGCAATTGTTTGTTTAACTTTAAACAAAAAAAAGGGTAGAAAAATTCAGAAAAATGTAAAAAAAAAAAAACAAAAACAAAAAATCATGGAATATAGTAGATATATGTATATAATAGCTACAATTATAATAATAATAATAATGGAACTTAGATCTTAAACATTTAAAAAATCTCTTTGCTGGGCGTTGAGATTCCCAGTGGCTGTTCATAGTCGGCTGCCGACACGGACGCGGATACGGCTTCAGTTGCGGTTGCGGTTGCGTTTGCTGATTCTTCCTGCTTTTCCTTTCGTCGAGATTTCTCCTTTTTATGCTTCTTCTTGTGCGTCTTGGACGCCATCAGCGCGCTGGCATCATTCTCCACATCGATGATGCTGCCGCTTGCTGCTACTGCTGTTACCGCTGTTACCGCTGCCGTCTCCTTGGATTTCTCCTTGTTTCTCTTCTTTTTATGCTGCTTGTGATGCTCCTCGGATGTTGCATCTGGAAGGACAGCTCTTGAAGTGTTGTTGGAGGCGTTGTCGTTGGTGGCGGTGGCGTTGGCGGCAGGAGCATGCTTGGGACTGGGCGTGGGTGTATCGGCATCGATTAGATCAACGACCATGGGCTGAGCAGGCGCCTTGCGCTCTCGCTTATGCTCCCTCGACTTGTCCTTGTCCTTTTTCTTTTCTTTTTTGGAGCTGCTGTTCGTCGCTGTTTCCGCTGGCACCTTGAGATTCTCTTTGCCCTCCTTGGACTTTTTGGACGCTGATTTGCTGGCCGCAGGCGCCTCAAAGTCCGCTCTGAAAAACGAAAACGATTTCAGTTGACTTTGCCCAACGATTCAAATGGATAATCAACACTCACATATCCAGTTCAATGTCCAAAGCTCTGTGTGGATCATTGGGATCGTATTTGCCATCCTTGTCCTCGCTGTCTGATAGCGACACACCCTCGGGCATGTCCAGTGTGGTGTTGACAATGTGCAAGGGTTTCGGTTCTATTTTGAATAAAAAATATCAAAAATATATTATCAGAAATATTCCTGAAGGCGGGGCAGGGGCACTCTTACCGCCATCCGATTCGGAGCTGCTGTTGTAGGCCACTTTGTTTTTAGCCTTTTTGCTCTTTTTACTCTTTTTATGCTTCTTTTTGCCATCTTTGCCCGCACCGCCGCCCTGCAAGGCCGCCGCTGCCTGTTGATCCTGCAGATACTTATCCGAGCGCTTAGTCACTAAAGAATGAGATGGAATGGCACTTAGCAAATGGGATTTATCCAACTGTGGGTATCCACTTACCGCCCACACGCAGTGCCGCCACCCCCTCCATATCCAGGGGCAGCTCCGTTATGGGTATATCGTCTATGTTGTCATATTGATCCGCATTCGACGATGCCCCTCCAGCCGAGCCGGAGGCGGAGGCATTCGTTGATTTCAGGTAATGCGGATTATTCGACTGCTCGATGAGACGGGCCAGGCGCTGTCGCTCCATTTGTTCGGGCGTTAGCTCGAGGCTCTTGCGTCGCTTGCCCGCTCCAGCATGGCTGGCATCGTGACCCGCTCCTGCTCCTGCCGCTTGGGCGGCACTCACAAACAGCTCCTCCTTGTCATGCTCCGAGGAGGAGCTGCTCGGATTATCCTCCGGCGGTGGGGCATTGATCCATTCATCCAAATCCAGGCCATCCGGCAGCGGCACCTTTCGCTGTGCCTTGGGCGCCACTGGTATCAGTTCCCCAGCAAAAAGCAGCGTCATCTCCTGCACAATCTCAATGGCCAGCGTTGGTATGCCGCCGCCGCCGCCGCCACCGCCGCTCTCGGCTGTCTCCATGCCCATGGATGATTCATCTGTCATTGTCGCCGTCGCCGTCTCTGTCTCTGCCACTGTCGCTGTCAGCTGACTGCGCAGCATTTCGATGAGCATGCAAGCGGAGCTGGCTCGCTCCTGCACCTCAATGTCGCTGGAGCCGTTGAAATGCTGCAGCTTGTCCAAGACATGATCGCAGAGCTGGAAAATATGCGTGGGATTAGCAGCTGGAGCAACTCGAGGGACAGAGAATAAGCCAGCCTTGGGACCCCAACTCACTCGAACAATGCCCGGCAGATCCTGCAGTTCCAGGCATGTGGTTGCCAGGCGGGCAAACAATTTAATCACATTTTGCACATAGACGCCCTGTATGTGGCCGGGCAGCTGCCGCGGACGCAGCAGTATATTCAACGTCTTCTCGGCGTCCTCCAGTTCGCCGGCAAACTCGCCAACAATCCAGGCGGCCGCATAGAGCACCTCGTACATGGAATTGCTCTGGGCCGACACTGTGAATGTGTCCAGCAGATTGGTCATCTCGTTCACAGCAAATTGACGTACAACCGGCACACGGATGGCCACATCCAGCAGCTGTTCGGCTATCAATCGGCCGTGCCGTGAGCCCGCCTCCAATTGGATCAGTTCAACGAGCACCGTCAGATACCATTCGAAATTCGTCACATACAGATAGGAACTCTGGCCACAGATCTCGATCACCTTGTAGAGCAGCTCATCGCGATAGGCAGAGCCTTCGGCACGCTCCATGTGACCGAGCAGACGCTTCACAATCTCCATGAGATTCTTTTTGGAGACCATGCCATACAGCAGATCCAAGGCACGCAGCCGTATCGACTCATCCTTGTCGTCCAGGCACGCCAATATTAGATCTTTGTGCGCCTGCACGCTCTTCGGATGAGTCTTCAAGATCTTGGACATGGCCAGCAGCCCCAGATATTTTACTATAACAAATACAAAAAATAATAAATAAGGGTATGAGCAAAATGATTATCTGGAACAAATTCTAGTACTTACAATTCTGATCGGAATCTTCGATGAGTATGCGCAACTTTTGCACACAAAGCTGTATGGAGGCACTGTGGTTGGGCATGCCACTGCTGATGCTGATGAGCACCGCTATCACCGTGTTTATGCATTCATACAAAAGACTCATCGCCGAGGTGCTGTTGATTTGATTTTGTTTTGTTCGTTTGTTTGTTTTGGGATTTGGTTTTTGTTTTTGTGGTTTTTCATTTCGTTTGGATTTTGATAGTTTTTTTTGTTTTGTTTCGTTTTCGTTTTTGGTTTGTTTGTTGGTTTGGTTTGGTGAAAAGAAGAATTTTGTATTAAAGAGTAAGCAGCGTTTAAAGCGTATCAAAATTTGCACTTCTACAACGACAATATTAGGTAGGCAGCAACAATAGCAATATATATACATATATGGCAATAGCGATAGCAAAACAACGACAATAAATATCTACAGACAAAATATGTGGGTACATACATACATATACATACATATATATATAATATTTTAAGCAGCAGCTGCAGCAGCATCAAATGCAACACATAAAAACATAAAAAAAAGAAAAAACAGAAAGCAGAGCAGAGAGCCAGCAGCAAAAAAATGTTTTTGATATTTTATTTTTTTATTTAGCTTTCTTCTGCTTTAATACACACACACACACACACACACACACACACACACACACACACACACACACACACACATCCATCTTTCTGGGGTTCTTTTCTTTCGTGGAAAGTGCTCTCGGAGACAAGCAAACAAAATATCCAAAACACAAAATAGAGCGGGATGGTTATACATAGTAGTAGTATTTGTTGTTGTTTTTTTTTTTAGGTTATACATATATGTTAAAGATACGAGTTACATATATGTACACATTGTAGTATATAGAGGAAAGACGGACATAAGAAGCCAGAATCAAGTAAGTAATCAATCATTCAATCATCGATGGAGAGACTGACTGACAGAGCAGCAGCAACTTTCGTTCGTTCATCGATCCTTTCTTTTTCTTTTTTTTTTTTATTTTGTTTGCATTCGCTTTTCCATATATTTTCCATATATAGGTATATTTTTTTTTTTTAAATTTGTTTTGTTCTTTACTGCATTTGTTTTTTTTTTTTTTTGTAGTTTGTTTTGGAATGAATTAAGAGACTTGCCTATGAATTAGATTTGTGAGTGGTTCTATTAATTTCTTTCCTAGCCGGGGTTCTAAGGGAGTTAAAGCGCCAAACTGCAAATGCAAAGAGAAAAAAGAAACAAGCAACAAATTATAATTTAATTTTACATACAATCAAAAAACACAGTACAGAGAGTTTCCCTATCTTCACAACTAAAACTAGAACTAAAATCTAAAATCTAATAACTAAAACCAATAGACCTATAAACCTATAAACAATAACAAAAATCATAAAAAAATCACTAAACGATATTTTTCTCATTTAAAACCTGTCTCAAAAAAAAACATTGTAAAAACCTGACTTTAAAAATTAATTTTTCTTTTTTCTTTTTTAATTTTTGTATTTCACTTCCGTATGTCCTTTCCAGTTCTCATGATGTATTTGATGCGTGTGTTTTTACATAGAATACTCGTATGATCTGTATTTAGAGGGGCCCTCTATTTTTTTCATACATTTTTAAGGTTTGTTTTTTTTTGTTTTCAGCAAAATAAATACATAATGTTTTGTAATTTTTTGGGTGTTCATTATTCATAAATCAAGCAAATGAAGCCGAAAAGGTATAAGGGGGTGGTTGGTGGTGGGTGGTAGGTGGGTGATATAGAAAAAGAGCTGATTGATTGTCGTGTTTTGGTGGTTTTTCGTGTTCGAGGCGAGTGCGCCTTATCGACTTTTATTTTAAATTTCAAACACCAATCTGCTGCTGATACTTTCCATTGAGCTTCTGTTAATTGTGTAAAACATCTGGCTGGCTGGTGCTTTCAACAAATTTCAACGTTCAAGTGTGGGTTGGGGTGTGTTGAAATTGCAAATGTAATTTTGAATTCAAATACCATAAAAAAAATACAATTAATAATCCATAATCAATGACGACGCTCATGTGGGTGTGGGTGTGGGTGTGGGTGTGGTTGTGGGTGTGTGATAGTGATATGAATGCTGGGAGACAATCCATAGAGGGAGAGAGAGCACAGCACCTCTAACCTTACAATAATTGCACCTTCAAATCGAATGAAATACAAAATAAAAACACAAACTCTAAATTCAATAATACCATAAACTATGTGGCTTCCATTTAAACAACATATAAACCAACAAAAACAACAAATTGTTTGGTTCCCAAAAACACAAAAAAAAATTAAAAACTAAATGGGAAATATATAGTAAAATGCGTTAGGAGTAAATCAAAGCGCGTGCTGGTTTTTTTTTTCTTGGATTTGTCGTTTTGTTTTTGATATTTTTTTTTCAGATAAATAAATAAAAGCGCGCCGATAAAAACCTGGAAATAATTTCGATTAGGGGCTGAGTCAATTTGCGTCCCAGCGCCGGTTCAATTGTCGTGAGGCTCGCGAACTAAAATTCATTTGAATTTTTATTTTTGATTGTTTTTTGTTTGTTTGTATATTCATTTCATTTTGTTAAATGTTTTTGGTTTGTATATTTATTTTTATTTTTGTTTGGTTTTTTTTTTTTGGAGTAGGCAGATGGAGTGGGAGCAGAGGGAAGGAGGAGGAGTAGTTGTAGTGTTAATTAAACATTTTTCGTTTGTTTGTTTGTTTGTCAAGACAATAATTAATGTATCATAAAGACAGTTAGTATATTGCAAAATGAAATCTGTGGTTTGTCCATGGAACAAACGGAACAGAACACAAAGGGAAATTATCCAAAATATAAATATGAAAATAATCTCAATTCCATAAATGATCAATTTCATGTGAATTGGTGGCAGGGAAAATACATAATTGAGGGGGGGAGGGGAGAATCGAGTGGGATAATTGAAACGAAGCGCTCACCAGCTTTATGATCTTGATCAGCATCCAATTGTTGGTCGATGTGGTCATCAGCTTGAAGAAGATTGGCGCCAAAGGTAAATAGTTTTTTGGATTCTTACGCGCTAATTCACAAATGACATTCACGGCAGCCGATTGAACACCTGCAAGATACAACAAATAAATGCCATTAGTATGAGTCTCGCTTGAATGGGTATTTGTTGTATGAGTTTTGAGTTTTGACCTGGATCGGGATCTTCCAGTTTCTCTTTGAGTTTTGGAAAGGCAGGTCGCAGTGCTTCGGGGTAGCGTAGAAATACTTTATACATCATTAGGACGGCTTTCATGCGCAGATAAGGTTTCGTAGAGCTCATCTAAAATGGGAGGACAAAATAAATTGAAATTGAATTGAAATTTAAATTGAGTGGTTTTTCCTCCTCTACAGCCTTACCAGTGTCATAATATCATTGGCCAAATCGCGTGACAAATCGGGCGATATGAAACAACTTAGGCCGCTTAACGCCACACCAGCGTCATACTGATTCTGTGAATTGAGATCCTTGCGTATCATGTTCGTCGTCAGCATGAGCAGCTATAAGATATTTATGTTGCATGATTTATTATTAGCAGTGGGTATTTTAAATCAGGCATAAGCTGGAGACCCCCCAGAGATGCCAAGAAATGTTCTCACGTGCCACAGCACACACGCACGGCCTTCCTTGAGACTGACGTAGGTAGGTAGACACACGTATGTACATACATACATACATGACATGTATTGAACGATTCGTCTTACCTCGCTATCGGGATGAAAGCACTGACTGGCTGCCAGATAGCCGATACGCTTGCAGGTAAAACGTGACGAACTCATCACCTCGATGATGTTGAAGCCTGCCCAGGAGATGTCGTAGCCAAGCATTTGTATCTGTCAAGTGCAAATCAATAAATATTAACATTTTTCTAGCAAGGTATATTTCTTTCTTTATAGGGGTGTGTGTTTAAGAATAGACCAAAGGACTCGTTAGCGTAGAAATCTGTCTCCCACACCCACACCCACACCCACACCCAACCTTCAACCTCCCTCTCTCCATCTCTTCATATCAGTGGCTTCCCTTCCTGCTTTGTTAGCTTTTAGTTAGTTTTTTGCCACCTTTTTTCTACAACATTGTTCCATCCCGCAGCACCTCCTTCTCCCTTTGATACCCTTGATGACGGAGCGGGGATGTGTGTAATGCAAACAAGGCATGGCAGAATCTCCATAGGACACCATAGATTATAAATCTACTTCTTCGAGTTCTAAGCACCACTCAAACTTTTAGAGTTAATATAGCATACAAAAGATCATTTTTAAAAAATTAATTTACTAAATAAAAAGGAGAAGGAACGTGTGCGTCGCTTCTGTGGATGCGACTCTACTCTTAAGCCCGTACTCAGTCAGTATAATTTTTTAATTTGGTTGCTCTAGCTCTTATAGTCTCTGAGAACTAGGCGCTTATCAGGGCGGACAGGACAGACAGACATGGCTATATCGACTCGGCTATTGATGCTGATCAAGAATATATATACTTTCTGGGGTCGGAAACGTTTCCTTCTCTGCGTTACACATATCCACTTTTGCCACAAATACAATATACCCATTAACTCTTTTTGAGTACGGGTATAAATATCAATCTGCCATAGGGTATCAAAGCAATCGGGCAACCAGAGAGTAGCGTCGCTATATTCCTTTCTTGGTGGTATTGCAGTTGTTTTGTTCTGCCTTCCCTCCCCACTCTTTGTCCTTACCAAATTTTTTCTCTTCTTCTATGCTTTGTTTTCAAATTGTTCTTCCACCTATTCGCTTCCTTGTTACTTGTACTACAATACCCTTGAAGAGGAGGCTATGATGATTTTAATCGAAAGAAGCCTCAACTGAAAAGCGCCAACATTTCTGAAGAGGAAAAAATCCCCATATCTTTGCAAGCAACTTGCCGTTTTTAATGAAATAATTGATGGTGAATAGATTGATGAACTAATTATAAAGGGAAACAGTTTGCGGTCTCCAGGACATATATTTATGCAATATATGAAATACAAAATAAAGCTGTTTAAGCCTTAAAGGGTATATCAACTTCGAACCTTTCCCATTTTAATTTGTATTTATTGTCAGGACTTGCATACAAGGGTCCCCCATGGGTGCCTGGGTGCCATGTGCCTGCTGGCAATTTGGTGGCAAATTTCAAGTGCAGAATGTACAGAATATAGTCCTTGAATGGCCCGTCCCAGACATAGACATTATGCGAGGGCACACGCAAAAGAGCTGGCCACTTAAATCAGTAGATAGAGTGAGGACTTACGTAGGTCAGCTTGGCCACGGCATTGCATTTGACGCTGATATTGTCCTGTCGCAGCTCCTGTTTGATCTCCTCAATGCATGTCGATATGTATTTGGCCTGCAATAGAAAAGAGCACATAAATATGTATGTAGATTCAAACAATTATTATTATCCATATAATACACATCTATTTAATATAATATATTGCCACACCGAATCTGGTTTTGGGAAATGTGCAAGGCAGCAAAGAAACAAAAATCTTTTCTTGGGCGCTATCAGTGCATCCCCTCCATACCACCCCAAAACACACACACACGCACACGAATTAGTACAAATACCAAGGCATAAATCAGCAATTTGTGAATTTCTTCTTTCTCTCTCGCATGACGACGTCGTGGAATCAGAAAATAAGAAAGCAAGACTATGTTCAGGGGACCGAAGCTTTTGATACCCTGGGAGATTGATCGTTCTATATATCAAATATTTCTTTATTGGATTTTGATCTATTCATTTAGCTGATTTATGTACATTTCTACTCATGATACTGCATTTTATTATTACATTTATAAAGACTTGTTTTTCAACCATTCGGACAGCCCAAAAAGATGGCAGAAAGCTGGATCCAGATCCCTGAGTTCTAGATCTTTGCTAACCATTTCCGATCTTCGTACTTTGTGTGGCAAACAATTGATCAAAATCATAATACCTCGCTCTCGCTCTCTCTTTCTTGCTTTCTTCAAGGGTATAATATGAAATTAATGGCAAGGCCAAAGAGGCCAACAGACCAAGGCGAAATCAGCGAGTTCGAATAGACAAAAAGATGGCTTGAGGCACCGTTACTTGTATATTTTTCCTGCTCTCCAAAAATCATAAGGCCTCCTCTCATTCCCCTCCGATTTGAATATTGTGGGCGTCATCGAAAAACAAACAACAAAACAAACGCCAGAGAGGTGGAAAAGAGAAAACTTACACCATACATACAGACATATGTACATACATGAGTGCATTGCAATAAGTTCGAACATAAAGAAACAGAGCTTAAGGAACAGTTAGTTAATCCATAAGAGAGACTATATATCCTGAGGGGCAGAAAAGCAAAGCAAAGAGAAAACATACACACAAGCAGAAACATCTGTGTGTGAGGGGGGGTGCCACAGCACAGCTGATAAGGACCAAGAGCAAGCTCTGTCCAGGGGAATTTACATGGGTAAATATTTGATAAAACGTGCGCCGTCGTGTACGTACCCTCCTGCTACAAAACACATCAGACAAGCCAGTGCTGGCGTGAAGGGAAATTGGTCAGAATTTGACATAAAAGCATTTAGGGCCTAAGCGAAATGCCGCTAATTGAGTGGCGGGAGTTGTTGTGGGGGGGAGAGCGAGACTGTGTTCTTTTCCTTTTGCATTGTTGGCAGATGCCAACGTACACACCTACACACACCAATGAGACACACGACAAACATGCACACGTACGCGTTCTGTTACAAACTCTAACAAAATTCCCTTAATGCAAATGAAATTTGTCAGCCAATTAGCAAAGTTGTAATTAAGGGGACTACGGATTATGTGGGCGGAGTGGGAGTGGGTGCACACATGCACTGGAACAGTAACAACAAACCCAGGGCTTACCTCATTATCCTTGTTGTTCCTTATGCCGCGCACCAGATCTGTTAAGTTTTTATCAAACATACGCTCAAAATTTCCCTTCACTTTTTTTAATGCCATATTCGTGGTGTGCTGCTATCGTTTGGTTGCAATTTTAACTGTATAGGGCCAGCAGCAGACACTGATTTTATTATATATATATTGGCAATTCTGTCACCGGCAGCACACTTCCGTCTTTTTCTATTTTGTTTTCTTTTTTTCTGCACTTGCAAAAATTGCTGCTAGGGCTGCCAAACCATCGATGACACTATCGATGGTTGTGGAATTTTGCGATGAATCGATGGATTTTTTTCGTGCGTCCATATATTATATATCATATAGCATGAGAGCCGCCAAGCTGAAAATCACCGACCAATAATAGTTTTTACAATTCTGAGGAGGAAAAAAAGCATACTACTCAGTTTCGAAAAAAGTCTTAGCTCGCAAAAACAGGGAAGATGTTCGTATGTAACTGATACGACAAAGTGCAGCAACAAAATTTCATTGGAAAAATGTCTTATCGGTTTCATACGAATATCATCCCTGTGTTTGCTAGCTGACTTTTTTCGGCTTTCAAAATAAAACCAACATTTAAATCTTTCTTTCCCGATTTAACATTTATTTCAATTACAGCTGGTCTACAACAAATTATTTACATTCCGACTCCTTTCAACATTTAAAATACTTTGCTTTTTTCTTAACAACTAACCAAAACATTTGCGGCAAAATGTAAGCATTCTTACCAAGTTTTTGTGAGCTTAGTCCCTCTATGTACATATATGTACACACACCCAATAATCTGGAAAAAAAATTGACCAAAAAGACATTCAAACTGTTTCAAACATTTGCATTATAAAACGTTTCTATACTCTACAATCTCGGTTCTAAAGCCTTTGTTTAATAACAATTGACCAATCCATTTTGAGGGCGCATTCTCAGCTTTTAAGCTGGCTGTCTATCACCATTGGAATAAATAAAACAAGTTCCAATATTTGTTAAGTAAAAATAAACATTGTGGCCCTTGAATAGAAAAAAAAAAAAATTCACTTTAATACTTTATCCCGATTTCCTATCGGTTCGCTTATAGCAACCAAATTATACTAAAATGCTGTATAGATTGTGCCAGATTTTTCGAAATATGAGATGCTGTCGATTTGGTGCTCGTACAGATCACATTTAGCAGAACTGTGAGATTTAGCGTATACTGATATCTATAATATTCCGCAACTACATGAGCCCCCAGGTCTTATATCATAATTAATATGGAAAATGTCATCATCTTTGACAGCATTGTGGCTGCTGCTGTTCTTGGCACATGAATATGGCTGATGGACTATGATTGAACGCGAAAAGCGATCTGAAATTAGCTGTTACATTGCTGGTGATGATGATGCCTGGGAATTGATCACGAAACGACTACCGATTGGATTATTTCTATTACTATTGTACACATTGCTCATGCGCATATGCTCAAAGGTAAGGGGCTTGCTGAGATTGGTGTCGCGCTTCTTGTAGAACTCATTGAAATCGAGCCGTGTGCCGAAGAGCTGAAGCTGTGGATCTTCGCTGCAGTTGAGGCCCATCATAAAGCCAGTCACTGCTTTCTCGTAGTTACAGGAAATGTCGTCGAGTCCACGACAGGCGATAATCACCTTCTGCTCGAACATCTTTCGCTCCTGATCCCGTTCCATTTTCTCTTCTGTGGTGACGCCAAAGCGGCCCTCCTTCTCAGAGTGGGCAATTTTTCCCTCCAACACATCGCGGTCGTTTTGCTCTTTAAAGCAATCCTTGTAGAATCTGGCCTGCCAGATTTCCAGGGCTATGATGTTCTCGAACACGGCCTCCAGGTGCCGTTCCTTGTCGGTCATCGAATTGATGAAACATCCCACGGTAATGGTATCGAGGAAACGCTCATGGGCACTGAGTATCTCATCCAGTCCGGTCGCCTGCTTCATTTTCTCCTGCAGCTCCACCCAATTGCACTCGATGACCTCAAACAGAACGTAGTACTGCATTTGATGGATGAAATGCATAATCTCGGATGTAAAGAGGTGAAGCCTGTACGAAGCATGGGCAATTTCAGCACTCATTTTGCGTAGTTTCTGAAAATAATCAAACGGAAAATTAAATAAGTAAAAGGCGCCATATGTGGGGACTAAAAGAGAGGTGGCAACACTGTTGCCACCATCGATATCATCGTTTATCGAAGCTAACATTTTGTTTACATTTGAGATTTGTCTTTTGAAAAGTTAAGCTTGTCTTTGTTTTATCTTGTAGTCTCATCACGTTGCAGCTTAAAATGTATTGTTCAATCTTTGAGGATTTGCCAGAAGACCATCCACGGCGATTGATTCCGGCGCTATGCAGGCAATTCTATCACCTGGGCTGGGCGACCGGCACCGGCGGCGGCATGAGCATTAAATTGAAGTGAGTAATAAACCACCTGACAGTGCAACGACGAAGAAATCTAACGATTGCAGACAATAGCAATGAGATCTACATAGCCCCGTCGGGGGTGCAGAAGGAGCGCATGCAACCGGAGGATCTGTTTGTTCAGGATATCGATGGCAAGGATCTGCAAATGCCGCCTGAGATACGAGCCCTGAAAAAGAGCCAGTGCACACCGGTCTTCATGATGGCCTACCGACACCGCAATGCCGGCGCCGTCATACACACCCACTCCCAGCATGCGGTGATGGCCACGCTCCTGTGGCCGGGGAAGACCTTCCGCTGCACGCACCTGGAGATGATCAAGGGCGTGTACGATGAGGCCGAAAAGCGTTATCTGCGATATGACGAGCAATTGGTGGTGCCCATCATCGAGAACACACTCCACAAACGTGACCTGGCCGACAGTATGTACGCGGCCATGATGGAGCATCCCGGCTGCAGTGCCGTTCTGGTCAGACGCCACGGCGTCTATGTATGGGGACAGACGTGGGAGAAAGCCAAAGCCATGTGAGTTACAAATGGATAAGCATGCCGCAAAGGGTTTCCTAACTTTCCTTCCACGCACACACACACATATAGATCTGAGTGCTACGATTACTTGTTCTCAATTGCCGTTGAAATGAAGAAGGCTGGCCTCGACCCGGAGACGTTTGTGGATGCCTCCAAGGCATAAAGAATTCTGGCATTTGGCAATTGATAAAATATAAGCAATGTTTCTTAAACAAAGTTCCATTCCTGCATCGGGCGGGGCCATTATCTGGCCACTTCAAGGCTTCTTATCTTTCTGTTTTATGGTGATTTCGAATTCGTTGCGCACTTTGTTCCCGAGGTCCACAGCCTGGTAACAGTAACAGTCGATAACAGGCGCTTTTAACATTCGCTGTTAGGTGCGATAGGTAAATGTTAAAGTGTAAACTCCATACAATTGCACAGTGGACCCAAGGCGAACAAAAAAAAATAAATTTAATTTGAAAATCCACCACTGGCACTAGTTTTTTATCCCCCAAAATAATCTATTGGCTTAACTGCGCTGCAAACTTTTGAATTGGCTCCATTTTTACACTTGATGGCGTCACTGTGCCATCAGCTGGACGGGCGGTGAGCGAGAGAGCACAATAACCATCACACAATACAAACAGACAAAACCAATGGGAGTGAGAGAACCACCCGTAGCATACCGGCTCACACTCCCCTCACCAGTATTGCCAATTCAGCTAATTTATAGCTAGCTATAATATTACTAAAGTTCGCTTATCTGTCCGTATGTTTTCCTTGCCATGGTAGAAAGGGTTTTCTCATAAAACATAATATTGGTACAATGGCAAATGCCAGTGTCGTAATGGAAAAATGAACGGATGTTTTATGAATAATAAAAGAAAAACCGTAGCTACCAAAAAAAAAAGTTGGCTATTTTTTTTTTCAACATAAAACAGCTATTTGCGTTTATAAAGTTGGCAACACTTGCTACCCGTGCTATCGCTATCTCGCCTCAAGGCACAGGCGAATACGAAGGAACAAGAGAGACAATAAAACCAACGACTCTGCACGCTTCTGGCTCATTCTTCCATTCACGGCGTAAGCATTTGTCCCCCCCAATTTGTGTGTGGGGCGCGCTACTCCAATTTATTAACATTTTCTTTTGTAAAACAACAGCGCACCCCGTTCCCCGAGAAACAAAAAAAAAAAAATACTTCAACCAAACATGAGTCTTCAGTCAGATGCCGTTTTCCAGAAAATCATCGATGGCCTGAAGGAAAACGAGGCTAAGGCCAAGGCTGTCAACGGTGTGTTTGTCTATAAAATCACCAAGGATGGCAAGGTGGCCAAGGAATGGAGTAAGTAATACAAATACAAATATTAGGCAACCGCACCGCACCTCACCCCCTGCCTGATATTCCCAACACACACACACTCAAATTTTCTGTGGGTTTACGTGGTCTTTTTTGCGTGTGTGTGCGTGTGTGTGTGTGTGTGTGTGTGTTTTGTGGGAAGTTCAAAGTGCAAAATGTTTTGCACTTCGGCACCAGCTGTTTGTTGGTTTTTATATGCCACACAAATTTACATTTACATTACATTACTTTTTCCTTATTTCTTATCTTTTGTGTGTGCGTTTTTGTTGTTGTTGTTTTCTAGCTCTCGACTGCAAGAACGCCAAGGCCTATGAGGGACCCGCACAGGGCATTAAAGTGGACACCACTCTGACGGTGGCCGATGAGGATATGGTTGATATTGCCCTCGGCAAGCTCAATCCCCAGGCCGCGTTCATGAAGGGAAAATTGAAGATTGCCGGCAACATAATGCTCACACAGAAGCTGGCGCCACTGCTCAAGACCGATGCCAAGTTGTAAGAGGCTGGCAGAAAGGAGCAGCAGCAGCAGCAGCAGCAGCAGCATTCCAAGCAGTCACATTTCTGTATATCTATTATTATTTTTTTTTTCGTATTCATATGTTTTTGTTTCACCCTCTAATTAATGTTATTTTTGTACGGGCAGGCAGTTGTGTGTGTGTTTTTTTTTCTATCAAAAATATAGAAAATAATACATAAGGATAACTAACATTTTGTATGCCCTTTGAGACTTTTGCTGTGCGTGTACCGGGAAATGGGTAATCATCCATGGATTAGATTACAGGTGCCCCCGAGCATTAATCTAATCTGGAACCACTCCGCCTCAATCAATTTGTTGCCCACAAGAGTGAGTGCTCCGAAGTCCCCTCCACACCCCACCCAAATTGCATTATCGATCAGAGCAAAAGCCGAGAGAGAGAGTGTGTGACCCTCGAAAGTGATAAGAAAAGTGTAGAGCTCTGGGGGGATAAGCCAACTCACCTTTCCGTTGGTCATCTGCTCCTTCCAGATCTTTGTCGACAGCACAAACTCCATGTGCTTTATGCGCCACAGGGGCTTGAACAGCGCCTTGTAGGTGCACATTGTCGGCTCCAGCATGGTGGCCAGCGGCCCTTGGACCACATACTGCAGCGAAACAATGTCCCAGCCCTTGTCACCCATAAACGGTTTCTGTGCCACCACATCCAAATGGTTTAGGATCTCTGGATCATCGTACTGGGCATTGGTGCAGCGCAGGGCAGTGTCCAGCATGGCCGACAGATCGTGGGTAAAGATTTCGGTGCCTGGCTTCTCCAGTTCATCTCTGAAACGGGTGGGATTTATTTAATGATTATTCGGTTTGGAGTGGCTGCTGCTGGGGGCAAGGACTCACTTCATATGCTCGATAAATACGCTGACAAAATCACCCTGGCCGAGCAGTAAGTACCGGCGCATGCATTGCAAATGATCCAGAAGCTTGTGGGGACCCACCATATAGTCGAGGACATTCTTGGCGGTGTTCTGATAGCAGATCTCAATGGCGGCATGCCATTTTGTGTCCTGTGTGTAGGAGAAAATGTCGCCAGCTAAAATGACAAACCGATTGAATAAGCCTGCCTCGCCCTGCCCTGCCCTCACGCATTTATTCCGTACCATTCGATTCCATGATCTTTTTCAGCTCCCCCTGGTCATTGACCAAATCGTTCTTGTCGCACACTTCTCGCAGAAAATTAATGCTCTTCCCGGTCCTCAGGATTTTATCGGCCAGCTCCTGGCAAATAAATTTCGGCAGCATGGGAACGCGTAAGCGAAACTTATCATGCCACAGGCGATCGGGCCCCACATCGGTCAGCGACTCCAAGAAGAACTCGCTGTGTATATCCGTGATGTCACCCTCGAGCATCCACTGGGAGATCATGCGCGCCAGCGGTCGACACATGGCCGTGAGCAGTTCATTGACCAATCTATCCACCGCTGGATTGCCATGATCCAGATAGTCCCACACCACGGATGTCAGTTCGCCGCCCTTTTTCATCGAACAGGCATGGGTAATTTTGGTCAGCCATTGCATACGATGTAGCGGCTTTATGTACCACATCAGCAGCTGCAATAGCGTCACCGGCTCCTGCTGTCTGTCGTGCCACTCCCGCTCGCGAGCGGTAAAGCTGCCGCCCTGCCCTTGGGCCATCTTGAATGCATTCACCTGATCGTGCAGCAGCGACACCTCGCCATGATAGTCCGCCAGTTCCTTCCGCAGAAAGCATGTGAGGGCCTGACCCATGCAGCCCAGGGCACTGTAACCCTTCGTGGGATCGGCAAATTCGGCCACACGATCGTGATAGTAGCCCAGCTCGGAGAGGCGTAGCAGGAGGCCAGCATCGGTCGTTGTCAGCAATTTCATGTTCGTCGTGTCCAGCTTGAAGCGCCCAGTGACGACATCCTTTCGTAGATATTTACCCTGAGTGCCCGTAAACGAAAAAATGGCATTCATGACAGCGTCCGAGCTTTCATCCATTTCTGTGTAGCTGAGCATTTGCTCCTGGCCCAAGCCAGCACTTGACTGGCTGGGATCATAGTTGAAGGAGCTACTGCTGCCATTCTGTTGCTGTTGCTGTTGGTGTTGCTGTTGGTGTTGCTGATGCTGCTGCTGCTCCCTTTTCTGCTGCTGGCGATAGGCATAGCTACCAGTCAATCTCTCAGAGAGCACCTCTGTTAGATTATCTGTGAGCTCAGGGCCAGTGCGCAGGCCACCAATCTTGCTGTCGGACATGGTGCGACGCGGATCTTCCTGCCTATCATCGGAATTGGGTATCTTGAGGTCCGGCACCACCGGTCGCATATCCCTGGGACCATCACCACCACCGCCAATCTTGCCATTGCGCATCAAATTCGTGGGACGCAAGAACGTCGACTCTTCATTATCCAGAATATTCAGCAAGAAATTCATGACGTCTTCGCGTCGCTTTTCATCCGTGCTCAGCTTCAAGAACTTTGTGTACGTTTTCAGGAACAGATTCCCGGGCAGCTCCTCCCGATTGCCATTTGGATTCGGCTTTGAGTTGAGTATATGCATTATTTTGATCACACAATCGTCCTCGCTCAAGATCGGCCCCGATTCGCTCAGCGAGTTGGGCTTTTCCATTATGCTATTCAAGGCATTGTTAACCAGACGATCTGACGGAGATGAATCCGTGAGAAACGGGCAGTGAGGTAAAATTCAAATAACTTAACACTTACCATGCTCCTCGGCGTGCTGGGGGCCGTTTATGGATAGGCATATATCCGACAGCAGTTTCGTTATATAGTGGATTGGAGTCGCTGGACTCAGCTCCTCTGTGTCATTTGAGTAGTTGGACATTGTTTTCGTTGCAAGACGAGCCAAATTTTATTCACTCGGAAAATGTTACAAATTTTTTTTTTTTACCCGCGCGCGCAAATCCAAACCACAAACAGCGACGAGATTCCAACAAGCGTTGGATATGGCGTTGGTCGATGCAGGGGGAAACAAAAAGACGAGCAACTGTTTGGCAAAAACTTTGGTAAACTGCCTATGCACACTGTTTCGTTATTGAGATCTGCTGAGACTGTGGCGTTTAGCGAAAATGCAGCATTTGCTTAACCATGAAGTGACCGCGAATTTAATAAACAATCAATTTAATAAACTATCATAATACCAACAAATGTACAAGAATGCAGTGTTACCAAGTGTCAGAAAACGAATATCGATAGCGCCATTGAAAAATTAGCCACTCATCGATTGCTTCGGCAATGCACCATCGATAGTATTTTGCCCGGCAAAATTGAACACCCCCACAAAATGCCAGAACGAGTTGAGACAAATTAATTAAGAAGTTTATATATAAACCACAAGAATTAATAATTCAAATTAAATAACTTACATACCACTAACCAATTAAGCGAAAGCATTTAAAAATAAAATAAAACATCAAATATGTAAGCTGCCCTTAAACAAAAACCATCAGATATTTGTGGTAGTTATGAAATATTAAAACGCATCAATCTTTATTTCCTTATTGTTTTTATTTTCTTAGAATATATGAATGATTTTGATACTTTTCGCAGTTCAAATTGTCCAATTCAATCCATACCATCGATACCATCGATTGTGTACACCATCGATGATTTGTTCGGTTGCATCGATACTTCAGAGAGCACATTCGATACTTGTTAGCCATAATAATTTCGCAAACAAAAATAAAATAAAAAGGACTAGAAAAAACTTATTAAAACTTTGGTATGGGCGTGACTGTGCTACAACCGTATCCCATGCCCGAGGGTAAATCTGGCGCCCATATCATCGATTACCTGGGTAAGCGTCTGCTCTCGCTTGGCGCTACGCATGCCGGCCAATTCCTGGTCGACTGCGAGACCTTCATCTCGACACCGCAGCCGCACAATGGTACACCGGGACGGGCGGTGCATGTGCTGCACAACTCGGAGTATCCAGCCTCGACGTTTTCGATCATCGACAGTGGGACCGGGAAGCAGGTCTCCCTGGTGGCCGACAGCATATTCGATCTGCTGATGCTCAAAATGACCAACACATTCACCTCCAAGAAGCAGACAAAGATTGAATCACGTGGCGCCCGGTTCGAGTACGGCGACTTTGTGATCAAGCTCGGATCCGTCACCATGATGGAGCACTTCAAGGGCATCCTCATCGAGATCGAGTACAAGTCGTGCATGATACTGGCCTACTGCTGGGAGATGATACGCGAGATGCTGCAGGGTTTCCTCAACATCAATGTGGGCAAGGATTTCCCCTCGTACTTTGGCACACAGACCATCATGACGGCCATGGGCCAGCAGCAGATGCATCCCAAGCACAACGACATGTACGAGCCCACGGATACGGTCAAGCAATATCTGGAGCAGTTCACCAACTATCGGAAGCATGTGTCCATGCATGGATCCCTCAGCGGCACCAGCGGCATTCAAACACTGGGTGGACAACAGCAACAACAACAACAGCAGCAGCAGCCCGTCCACATGTCCCCCTCGCCGGTGATGGGTGCGACGGGGGGCCTGGGCATGATCCGATCCTGATGCGAGGTCAAGCTGGAGCCGCCCGATGCTCCTGCAGTGACACTACTGGAGACTGACTGAACGATGGACGAACGAACGATTCATTGAAGAAAGAAACAACTACTCAATGGTTTTATTTTTGTAATGTATATTTTTAACACAATAGTTATATATATTATATATAGATGTGTAGGGTTGTGGTGAGTGTGTTTCCTCTCCTCTCTTTTTCCGTGTCTGTGTGTAATCGTCTTAAAAAAATATATATAGCTGGAGTAAAAAAATTTCGAATTTTTCCTCTTCAATGTGTTTTTGTTTAGTTTTGGTTTTTGATGGGTTTTCCATGAGTTTTCTTTTCTTTTTTTTTTGTACAACAAAAAGATTTTGTTAACCTGATTTCGCATCCAACTGTTATACAACGAAAAAAAAAACTAAAAGGGGTTGTAGGAAAAGTGGAAACTTCTTAAAATATAAAATGCAATTATTATCCTTTCGAATTACAAAAAAAAAAAAAAAAACAACCAAATTGTTTACCAAAAGGAAAGTTATTTTCTGTATGTGGAGTTCATGGTTCATGTGGAATATATATATATATTTATATATATATATATGTATAGGTATGTATATTTTAAACATAATTATGTGTACGCCGTGGCGCTAGTCTTCTCACACACACACACACACACGAAAATAAAACGTATCTATGCAAGATTTTCTTTTTAAGGAAGTACAAAAAAATATAACTATAGATAATAACAATTGGTTTGGATTTCACACACAAGCTCTTAAAAGAAATTGGGCGGGAAACAGAGAAAAGAAATTTCAAGGGACATTCAAAGTTTAAATGGTAAGCAAAAATAACTGTACATGAAAATGTTACATGTTACAATAAAATAATATTGTTGTTTGGACATTTTAGGCCGCCGCCGCCAATAGTAGTAGTGGCCACAGTTTTTCTCTTGATTTAATTTACTTGTACCCTTCAATTTGCATTGTTTTCACATGAAATATCATAAGGGGGGTTATAAGTGCCTGCCTGCGCGTGTGTGTTGTTTGTGTGTGTGTGTGTGTGTGTGTGTGTGTGTGTGTGGGTGGGTTGTTGTTGTGTATAACAGTTCGTATAAGTAATTTGCTTCGCTTGCAAGTGAGACATACTATAAATGGCAGCCGTGCTATAAGTACGCCGCTGATCTGATCCATCAATCCGTCCGTTCGTTCGTTCTTTCATCAAACAAACAAACAAACCAAAAAAAAAACCTCAACTTCCAGGCTTTCCACAAAAAACAAATTCAATCATCGTGCCCTCCCGCCGTTTCTTTAGGGTATTTACTTTCTTCTTGTTCTTTTTTGTTTTGCTTTCTTGGGCGGTAACTGGATCTCTACTTTTTTTTTTTTTTTTTTGTTTATACACATATTTAAAATATATATTTCTTGCTTTAGATTTGCTGTTCCTCGTTAGATTAATATATATGTATGTATGTATTGTATGGTTTTTTGTGTGTGTGTATGTTAAATCGTTATAGTTATAGTTTAAACGCGGAGATCAATATCCGGATTGATTGTTTAATGTTGTTTCTGTTGTCGGGTTTTTTTTTTGTGTTGTGTTATGTGTGTGTTTGTTTTCTCGATAGTTAAGCGATAGTTTCTCTGTGGATCAATAAAATTTGCGACAAATAATGCATTTCTCTCTTATACTGCTACTGCTGCTGCTGCTGCTCCTCCTCCTCAGAATCCTCTTGATATTTTGCTCCTTTTTGTAGTTGTTGTTTCCACTCATCAGATATATCCTTTATGTGTTGTTGTTTTTGTTGTTGCTAATAGTTTTGGTTGACTTTGGGTTTTTTTTTTTTTTTTTTTTGGGGAGGGCGGGGCTGTTTATATAAGCATACTACATAAGTCCACCCCGTTTTAGAAAAGTTCCTCCCCAATTTAGTCGCGCATTGGAAAAATAGCCGGCTTGACATGACCGCCATCGCCTTCCGAGACAAAGCGCTTGCGTCCGCTGTATATAATAGAAAAAAAAACAAACAAAATATTAGATATTTTATAAAGATGATAGAAAAACGAGTTGATAAATATTTATACATGTTGCCTTGAAATATGGAATTTCTACCAAATAACAACTGATCGATCAGTGATCATAATTCAGCCATAGGATAAAGAGCCATTAATAATATTATAACCTTAACAATTTCTTAATTTTCAATTGCAGCAGGGAGCAATAATAGTTCCATAATAGTCTCAGGATATCATAATTAGGTGAGAGACATACGGATAGGGCCAAATAGATTTCTTCATTCTTGAATCATATATGTACATATGTATATTGATCCTCGTAAAATGTATAGTTTAACGGTTCTGATTTGTACAGTGGACAAATAAAATAAACCCCTTTTAGCTCTAACAAGCAAAGCTTATTGTGAAATAGGTCCCCAGATGTACTTAAATTTTGACCGTTTTGAGACAACCAATCGATATTAATATAGTTTTTTTTTCTTAAAATTCATGCACAGCAGGTATATTTATGCCCTTGTACCTTGTGTATGCGGGGTATGAAAATTGACATCTGCAGAAAGTCTCGCTTGAAAAAAGAGAAGAGCAATTGCACACATACACACACACACAAACACTCACGCACTTTGCAATTACACAATTATGCAATGCAAGAAAACAAAGAACAAGCCAACAAAACAAAACAAAACGGAATAAAGTGTTGCATAAAAGATTTGCGCAAATTTGGCAAAAACAAAAAAAAAACAACATCTTAAACAACAAACAATTTGCACAAAAGTTCATTCAACTGCTGACCCTTTTTTCGCTCTGTCGCTCTCTTTGCTTCAGACTGCTCTCAGCTGCAGAGTACTGCAACAACAAAAACAAAACAGCTGTGCAAGTAGTGGGTGAGAGAGCGGGAGAAGCTGCAGTGCAGTGGTCGGTCTCTCTGCAGACAGTTGCCAAAGCATTGAAACTAGTTTTTGTTGTTGTATTCAGTGTTTGTTTTTTTTTTCGTTTTTATTGAGAGAGCCGGCGGCTGCTTTGACAAGCGCAATCGAAGAATTCTAAGCTGCAAAATGCCAAGCAGAGCCTTAATTGCTGCATTTAAATATAGAAAATAAAAAAAAAGAGTCAAGTAAAATAAAACAAAATGTGAAATGATAAGTGACCCGGCCACAAACAAGAACAAAGCACATGAGCGCGAGAGGAGAGGATAACAGAACAAAAGCAAGGCGGCCGGCCTTTAAGAAGCAGCAGCTGCTTTCGCGCAGCAGACAGTGTTGCGCATCTGGCTTTTTCACCCGCTATACTCTCGTAATTGTAGATCTGACAGCCCAGCCACTCCGCTGTGCGATTCCTCTGACACGGAGTTTAGCTTCTTTTTTTAGATTTGTATAATCATTTTAGAGATCAAATAACAGTCGGCATTAACAAGCTACAGTTTCAGTTTCCTAGCCTTTAGTAAGGGTATCAAACTATTCGGCCACTGCAGCTGCTTAAACACATGCACACTCCTGATACCCCGTTATGTGCAATTCATCTGGCTTTGAGTTTAGACCTTTTTTTCAGCGGTTTTTGTTGTTGTTTTTGTTTTTGTTGCTTGTAGTTTATTTTTGCATCATAAATTTGGCTTTTTATAGAAATGTGAGCAGTTTCGTTGGCGGTGTTGGCGGTGTTGCCGTCTGCCACAACATCCAGGGGGTATTGTGTATGTATGTATGTATGTATGGAGTTTATGTATGTATGTATGTTTCGGTCCCTGTATTAGTGAGAATGGCTGTTGTTACTTTTGTTTTGTTGTTGATTTTAGTTGTTGTTGTTGCATTTAGTTGTCGCTGCTGCGCTTAAAGTGGCAAAGAGCAATAGCCGCAGCCAAGGCGAATGCAAATGCAGTTACAACAACAACAGCAGCGGCAGCAGCAAAAGCAACTAAAGTGGGAGTGGCAAGCAGGTCGATAACAGCAACTTGGCCGCCATGTTTACCTTCGCGCACACACACACACACACTCAAGACGATCTTGAGCCACATGCAGGTTGTTGCACCAAAAGTTTGATGCGATAAAAAATAAAATCCAAACACAAAACTAAACGTCGATAAGAGCCGTCCTCTCTCCCTATCGATATCGAGTACATACATACATATGTACATATGTTCATGCAATGTGGCTCTTTTTTTAGAACAGATAAAAGCAAGTTGAAAAGTCATTGAGGCCGAACCTCTTGATACCCTGCTGCATTTTTTTGTTTCTCCTAAAAGCATTAACCGTTCATTATTATGGAGAAGCGGTGAGCTTTTTTTTCATTTGGCAACATTCGCCGGCATTCTCTTTGGCAGCATTCACTTGTGTGGGTGCACTTGAGAGCAAGGACGTGCCACGGACGCTTAGAGGTATGGCATATAAAAACGCTATATTTTATGCTGTGTGTATTTAAAAACTATATCACAATTTCAGAGATGTGTGTTTTAATGTCAAGAACCAACTGATTTTATCACTAAGCATTGCTTTTCCACCGATTGTACAGAATGTAAATAGATATAGTAGCTGTGTGGGTACATACACATATAGATTTGTAGTTACAAAATGAAACATGACTTCTCTGATGGAAACTGATCGAGAATTGGCACGCACACAGGGGAGGAGGGGGGTAACATTCTCACCGTAGCAAACATTGTAACACACACTCTTTGCAAGGGTACAATCAAACAGCGATATTGCCCCCAAGGCGAGGGGAATAAATCAACAATTAAGTATGCATAGCAGAAACAGAAAGAGAAAAAACAACAAAAGAAACAGAAAGGAAAGGAGAAAAAAAAAAAACAAAAAGCTAAAAACTCTAGGAGTACATACATGTGTATTTGTATGTATGTAAATATTTATATGTACATATAAATATAACTAGCCGGCGGCAGGCACCTGATAAACCGGCAACTGGCCCGGACTGCCCCAATGGATGACGCGGCAGCGTCGCGGCGCCTTGTCAGTGTCGAAGCAAAAAACTAAACTGCGCAATAGAAATTTCATAAACAAACACACACACAGACAAACAGGAACATACATACATATATCGCTGTGCATGTATATGCATACCTGTGTGTATATAAGAAATTGAGCTAAAAGCGTATAAAGAAAATAAACAACAACAAAAATAAAAGAATAATAAACAAGTCGAAGCCGGCAAAAACAAAATATAAACACACACAGATAAAAGCACAGCAGACGCATACATACATACATACTGCTAGGTATACTTATCGGCA